CATTTTCCTCACTTTCCCTTAAGCGCTCACTAGTATCTTCTTCAAAGTCCCAGGCTTTAGTGAGCTAAGATTGTGCCCCTGCACTCCAGGCTAGGCGACAGAGAGAGACCCTGTCTTAAAAAAAAAAAAAAAAATCTTTAACAAATTTACTAATGAGCATGTGCAACGGTACGTACCAAAAATAATCAGGACAAAAAAATTTGCAATGAAAAGTAAGCTTCCCTCCTACTTCTCCTACTTTAGGCTAGCAATTTCTTTCCCCCAAAGCAATAAGTATGTCTACATTTTTATGTCACTTTTCAGAAATTTTCTATGAATGTGCTTCCATTTTTTTCATGTATAGAAGTTTGCTATATTTACTGGTTCCATTTATCAGTGTATTATAGTTTCTTTTTATATTAGGACGTATAGCTCTGCCTCATTCCCTTGAAAATTTTAAAGGTTACAGAATATTCCATTGTATGTATCCTTTATGGATACCACATAATTTATGTAACCTGTCCCCAACAGGTAAACTTCAGTTTTTTTCCGGTCTTTGCTATTATATTCTTGAGTAAACATCCTTGTGCGTATATTTTGTCTACATGTATATCTATCTCTAGGATAAATTTTCAGGGATAGGATTGCCACATCAATGAATTTTAATTTTCATAGAGATTTACCAAATTCTACTCCTGTCGCTAGTGAGAGACTTGAATTTACGTTTCTTCAACATTTTGCATGCAAGATAAATACAAAACACAAATCCTTTGTTAAATTTATATGATCTGAACAATTACCAATATTGTAACAGTAATCTGTTTTCCATTGCCAGGTACATGTACATGATAAAAAGATGAAGTATAATTCTATCTGTAATCATGAATTTAACCTATATTTTGTTTTTCTTACTCTGTATTGATTTTAGAAAGAAAACTAAGAATTACAGTTAAAAGTTTCTATTGGCATAGAAAAATAAGCATGAAAAGCAAATATTAACATTTTTTGCATTATATGTTAAAGAGAAAATGTGCATGGGTAAAAATCTGGCTGTTGTGTAGTTGATACCATAACAGTTCTTTTTTTTTCCCCAGGAAAAACTATAATTAAAAATCTACCTAGTGTATGCAAAAGTCTAAGTAGCCCTGAAGTAGTAGTGAATTAATTGGTAGGAAATTTAAATTTTAAAGAAGTTCTCTTTTTACTTTAAACTACAGGTAAAACCGTATAGTTTAGCTACCTACATGAAGAGTAAAACGTGACAGACTTTGGTTTCAATGTATAACCACTTGGACTAGTCATTCTCTTTCTCAAACAAGAATTGAGAGATCCTGCATATATTTGAGAAAAATAGTCTAAATATTGTCATTGAGAAATTATGGCAAGAGCAGATTTTCTGAAATAACATCATGAATTGATTTAATCTAATCTTGGGAGTAAAAATCTTTTGTTTTAATCTGTGGAGTGCTGAGTTGTGACTTTGTCCTTTATGTCCATTTTTTCTGTAATCTTACATACATATTTCTCTAGAGCCTTAGTGAAACATACTTCTTTGAGCATGTCTTTAAAAAATGTTTTAAAAACATAATATTTATTTGCTTTTATAGATACAAAATCTTACCCTAATCAGTGTGGAGTTGCATGCTCGAACCAGACGAGACTTAGAACCGGATCCCGAATTTGACCCAATCTGTGCTCTGTTTTACTGCATCTCGTCTGACGCTCCACTGCCAGATACAGAAAAAACAGAACTCACGGGTGTAATAGTGATTGATAAAGACAAGACAGTTTTCAGTCAAGGTATTGTCTGTTTTTATTAATGATATACCTGCCCACTCTAGGAGGAACCTTTTAATGAGGAATTCCTATGCTGAAGATCCAATCTAAGCAAGCCTGAGGACTCTTTTCTAAAATGTTTGCTGAGATAGGAGTAGGAGATTGTGTATAACTTTGTCCTAGATGTATTATTCTTACTTGAATTAGTCAGAAGCAGCCAGGCACAGTGGTGCCTGCCTATAGTCCCAGCTACCTGGGAGGCTGGGCAACAGGATAGCTCGAGCCCAGGAGTTTGGGGCTATAGTGCACTGTGATTGTGCCTGTAAATAGACACTACACTCCAGCCTGGGTAACATAGCAAGACCCCATTTATTTATTTATTTTTAAGTTAGAAGCAGTGCAATATAAAGATCTCAATATTTTATAATTAGCTTATATAATTTGTTCTAAGTATTATTTTATAAAAATAATTATTACTGATACAGAGTCCACATTATTATGTATCCCTAGATTAGGTGCACAGTCTTCCTTATGTATGCATATGCAAGTATTTTCTTGCTGATAAGAGAGTTTATCTTACTACTATAAGTTAATGGTTCATAAGATACTTTTAAGATGTATTCTTACTTTGCTTATATCTCTTTATCTTTCTTTCTAAGTACATATACTTTTGGTTCAGAGGTTCTTCATACAGAATGCCATGTAAGGCATTTTATAAAATACCTACTGTCCCTCTGCAGCTTTCAGTGGTCACCATTACAAGTGAATTCAGTCCACTGAGGAGGAAGTCTTAGCACAGAATACAACCATATTAAGAATTTGCAATTTATTCAGTGATGTGCTTGAGCTGACACATACCAGCTCACAGCCAGTTCTTGGATTTTCATGAATTTTTCAAACTAGTTGCTGTCGCTTTGGCAGTTGGAAATCAGCCATAGGGTCGGGGAGGGGTCCTTACATCATGAAATAGGCCAGCACTACAAATTAAGGCTTTCTTTTTTTTCCTACAGAGTTGGTGGTTAAACATTTTCATCATACCAGAGATTAAAATGTCCTGTGCTAAGCAAAGCTCTCCTGCTAGGAAGAGTAAAGACAGAAACAAAGTAATACAGGTTCTTCACAAGTGATATGTTATTTTCTTTTCTTTTCTTTTCTTTTTTTTTTTTTTTGAGATGGAGTCTTCCTCTGTTGCCCAGGTTGGAGTGCAGTGGCGTGATCTCAGCTCACTATAAGCTCCGCCTCATGGGTTCATGCCATTCTCCAGGTTCATGCCTTTCTCCTGCCTCAGCCTCCCAAGTAGCTGACTACAGGCGCCCACCACCACGCCCGGCTAATTTTTGTATTTTTTAGTAGAGACGGGGTTTCGCCATGTTAACCAGGATGGTCTTGATCTCCTGACCTCGTGATCTGCCCGCCTCAGCCTCCCAAAGTGCTGGAATTACAGGCTTGAGCCACTGTGCCCAGCCAGTGATATGTCATTTTCTAGGAAATTTTGTGAATGCAGTCTTTTCAGGAGAATAGCTGAAAATATAAAATTTGAATTTTCAGTTGTATATGAAACTAAAAAATCTTTTGAGAGTTTTTTAAAGACATTGGGTTAATTATGTTTTTACTTGGTGGGATGTTTTCTTAATTTGAAATATTTCAGTAGTACAATTTTACTTAAAAGTAAGGGATAATATTACTTTTATATTATGAAGGTATATTATTACATAATGTTATATATAATAGACATTTTGTTTATTTTTTAGATATCAGATATCAGACTCCATTACTTATTAGATCTGGAATTACAGGACTCGAAGTCACCTATGCTGCTGATGAGAAGGCACTTTTTCATGAAATTGCAAATATAATAAAGAGGTATTGTTTTGTATTATCTGATTTTTCCAGTTTTTATTCAGAGAGTCGTTTCATGCTATTGCAGATAACAGTGAAGACAAAAGTGAAGGTAGGAAGAAAACGAATCCCTTCCTATGGGCCTTGAAAGCAGAGTTACTCTTGGAAAAATTTTATATTCACTTCCCGCCACCATCACTATTTTCATCAGACAAGATAGGAAAAGCAGTGTTCTGTTCTCAAGATTGAGGGGCCAGTGAAAGACAAATATTTGTTTAGCCTCTAACTTCCCAGGTGTTCTTGAGGTTTGTTTTTCTATAGTGCTGAAATAATGGAGAACTGTGTAAAGTTCCATTGTATTATTCATTAACTAGGTTTCTACCTTAGGAGCCAGCCACCATTTCAGTACCTTTTTTGTTTTGTTTTGTTTTGTTTTTCTTTTTTAAAGTTTTCTGAGTTCTAAACAAGCCAATCTCTTCAAAAAACTTTGGGATGCATTCTGCGTATAAATTTATCTGTTAATAAATGTTGAACTGTCTATTACATACTCTTGTGCACAGAGCTCCTTAAAAAACCTTCTTTTAACCGTTTGGTAGTTGGTCCTCAGATTGATAGTAGAATCTTGTCCAAGTTTATGAAAAAAAAAATTTTAACAAAAATATTTTAATTTAAAAATAAAATCATTAAGTGGATCATTTGCATTTTCTCAAGAGTGTAACTCTTGGTAGCCATAGACTCTGTTATTAAATGCTTCACTTTGTAGAAACTTAAGGATTCTGCCCATTGCTAGGTTTCGGTTTTTAGATGTCTAAAGCAAGATAGAAAACACCCTTTGGATCCTGATGTACAGATAAAAGCTGTCCATGAGCATGTTGTTATACTCACCCTTTTTTGTTTTGCTTATATAGTTGAACTTTATCCTATAAAAACTAAATCAGTATTCTACACGAAAGATTGAGATGATATTCTACAGACTTGTCATCAGATTGATTCCCAGATGAGTTAACGTAAACCATTCTGAGAATTAGAAAACCAAAACGTGTTTTCTACAAAACAAAATTAAATGACAGAGCATCAAAAATAGTATGCTACTACCCATGACTATGAAGGAAAAAAGAGTAAAGTATTTTTACTATTTATTAGCACTGGTGACTAGATAGAGTCCCATCTATTTGAGTTTCGTCATTGTCAGTCCTACCTTTTATCTTCTCACAGAGGTTGTCATCAACATGTCAGATGCTTTCAGTATCCACATTTCTTTTATTTCTGCAAGCAACTCAGAAAAAGAAATATGTAAGAGTTTCAGTCAATACTATTTTGTGTACCAGCACATGTCCAGTAACATCCCTGGACTTGTATGCTTGCCTTTTCCTTGTTAGGTATATTCCCAACGATAGGATTACCTACCAGCATCGAGAAATGTGTCAGTCATTTGCAAGTACAACTTTCTTAAATGTCCATAAAATGAAATGTACTAGTAATTAAGGAAAAAGGGGTAAACAAAACTGTCATAAAAAGGAAAATGTTTAAATGTCAACTTTTCAATTCTATAGTGTTCTTTATATATTAGTCCAAGCAATCCTGCAAAAAGATTGATTATTTCATTCTTTCACCCTATTTGTTGTGTACTTACTCAACACAGCCTTTGGAGTCAGCCAGCCCTGTGTTTCTGTCTTGAATAAGTTGCTTAACTCTCTCAACTTTGTTTTCCTAATCTGTAAGATGGGTAGATAATGCACATAAAACTCTTAAACTCATGTCTGGTACATAGTGAGTACATAAATGTTAACTGTGTGTAAGGGGCAGTGCTAGGTATACTATAAAAACGAATAAAATATATCTTTATTTTTCCATTTTTAATACTTTCTCAAGTGGCAAACACAAAAAGTAATATAAAGTGATATTAAACAAGCAAAACTTAATCTATAATCTTGTCACAATCGTTTTCCTCTTTCTGTATTTCCTTGGACTATTTACTTTGCCCGGTCTCCCTAACTTAAATATAAACTATGATTCTTCCCTTTTCCTCTTCCCCAAATACTGTTACATTTATTTTACATCATATCCATTTAACCTCAGAATTCTTTTTCAAGATGATTCCTTCCCCTCCGTACCCCTTGCCTGTACTGGAGTACCCTTATCTATCATGTGTGTAGATGGTAGTGAGTTGCTTAAAATACTGTGAAGCATCTTTTTTCTACCTAAGCAAATAAAACCATTTTCCTATTTCTTCTGCTTCTATTTTATCCACAGTTTTGGGTTGTGTTCACCACTAATCCCAACTACCCAACCTTGTTCTTTCTGTAACTTTCAGAAACCTGATAGAATGAATAAAACCCACTAGAAATTGAAGAACAAGTCATCAAGACCTTGTTATTGACTCCAAATGTTTTTAGAGAAGAAAAATGGAATCCTTTTGGCTTTTGAACTTGAAAACAGGTGTTTTATCAGCTTTAAAAGAGTCTCTTAAGACTAAACAGCCTCCAGGTCAAAAAATAAATATGTGTAATATATCTGAAAAATATGCCTGAAACAACTTTACAATTCTTCCAAAGGGACAAAATCTGTGAAATAAATCTAAGAAGAGAAGCATAGGCTAACTTTTTTCAGCGGTCATTTCTGAGCTGTAGCAGTTTATAAAAATAGACAACTTTTTAATTGAAACAGTTATTTTCAATGCATTATTTTTTGGAAAAAAGTGTACTTAGTCAGCTCCATTAGTTGCCACAATAGAACAAATAGCTGACTGGAATAAGTTCTTGCAATAACAAGATGTTGCATAAATGAGAACGATTCAGATGAAGAAATTAGAAGAACTGTAACGTTTAAAACAGAAGGGCTGTGTAATCATCTGGCATCCTCTTCATGTTGTAACTGTGTAACTATGTGATATATAACTATGTGATGTGTGATAGGTAACTATGTGATAGGCATTCCAGGAATCTTCCAAATTATTAAGATCAAGGTCAACTGTGGCCACATTGTAATGCCTGTTCTGAGCCACTCTGAGTACTTACCAGACAACTGTGTGGGTTCTGTTGTGTGCGTATGAGAATTCTTCAGGTCTGTGACCCCTGGTGATCCTTAGAGCCACTTGATACTTCTGCCCCAATTCTCAAATGTAGCCATTCATTACACAGTTAGTTTTAAAGGGAGACACACTGGACAAGTAGATAGTCTATCTTTGGACTAAGAAGAGTTTAATGAAAGAGATGAAGGCAGTATCAAAGAGTTGGTTCAGGGTTTGGGTGTTATGTTGGAAGACTAAACAGAAAGAGTGTTGGGATATTTCTCCTTCTTTGAGTGCCCTGGGATCTTTCTGGATATTCATGCCATTGTTGCTTATTGCCTTGCTTCAATAACTGTTTATTAAATTAAGCCATTTTCTCAGAAATGTCAATCCTATTTATGTAGAGAAAAGCACATAAGTAATATGTTTAATATCTTTTTCTCCTAACAAGCTTGAAGACTGCTCAGCAAGTCTGTGGATAACAGCGGATCATGAACAGATCACCAGAAAATTAAAATTTTTACTACAGAATGTACTTTCATAGGGCCTTTAGTGAATAGGAAATTTGCAAGTATGCTGTTGCAGAAGTTTGAACCTAGTTCTTTTGACATCAGCCACTTAAATACTCCAGAATTAAAAATCAGAAAACATTTATTGGGACATTCCAATTTTTATTGACTAGGTGAAAACGAAAGCCATTCAATACCCATTTTTAGAAGACAGCTATGGAATGATGATAAAACATTAACATATCGGTTCTAAAAGCAGACCTGGTGATCTGGTCATGATCCATTGTTATGCCAGACTTGCAGAGTAGCCGTAGATAGCTTCTATCAGTAAATCAATGTAGTCGAATACTGTAGACCTTGGCTGAGGCTTAGGGTATTAAATGCTTTAAATTGGACAGGCTACACATCTCACAATTTAGTGTTTCATGAGTAGTTGTGTAAAACTCAACGATTTCAATTTCTGTGATATTTCACTTGGCCTTTTGGCATTTATAAAGAACAAGATAATGCTACTAATTGATAGAGCTACTTACTGTAGTTTTTGCTCTCAAAACTTATAATTAGTTCCTCTGTCCCCCACACAATTTTCCACTCAAGATAAATTTTCATATTTATAACTAAACATTTCTCTGTGGTAGTCACAACATGGAGGTTCTAAGAGGAGCCACAAAGAGGCTCCTTCTGGATTAGACACAGGTTGTCGGTTCAGTTTTGCCAGTGCAGCTCTGACCACAAGGAGCACATTTTTCTTCTAGATTCTGATGTTTACCTTCCCCACCTTAATCCCACCTCTATTAATATTTTATTCTTCCATTAAGTTGAATCACCATCCTTTTAAATTTAAAGGACAAACTTGTCATTACTTAGGCCTTATTTTGTATGAGAACCAAGTCATTACTAAAATTAAGTGAGAAAAAGAAAGCATTTTCATTTTTTTTTCTCAGCATTAAAACTTTAAGGGCGGTATAGATTACAAGGGTAGATAAGTGACAACAGGAATGACCTAGGGATCTTTTTCAAAATACCATACCCACATACACCCTCACACTTCACCTTCCCCTGCCCACATTATATTCTCACTTGTACCTTTACCCATATACTTCGGTGGTAATGGCCTGCCTTCCACCCCAATTTCCATCAGCCTCTTTTCCCACTTGTATCAAACAAATACAGTCTAAGTAAAAACTCTGCTTACTTTACAAAAGTAGCGTCAAATTGCCTATAATCCCAGCACTTTGGGAGGCTGAGGCAGGCAGATCACTGGAGATCAGGAATTTGAGACCAACCTGACCAACGTGGTGAAACCTCGGCTCTACTAAAAACACAAAAAATTAGCTGGACTTGGTGTGGGGCACCTGTAATCCCAGCTGCTTAGGAAGCTAAGGCAGGAGAATCGTTTGAACCTGGGAAGCAGAGGTTGCAGTGAGCTAACATCATGCCACTGCAATCCAGCCTGGACAGCAGAGTGAGACTCCATCTCAAAAAAATAAAAGAAAGAAACAAAGTAGCTTCAAATCAAGTACTCTTAACCCTCCATCTCTTCCTGTATAAAAACTCTGTAGGTACCACTGTATCATCCCTTCTCAATCTGGGAACCATTAGAGAACACAGGTTTTTATTTTCATACCTTACATCATGAAGAAACAATTACTCTGGTTAAAGGTTCAAATGTATGGTACTTATATAACTTTTTAATTCTTGTTTTAGGTATGATCCTGATATTCTGCTAGGATATGAGATTCAGATGCATTCCTGGGGTTACCTCTTACAAAGGGCTGCCGCTTTAAGTGTTGACTTATGTCAGATGATCTCTCGGGTGCCAGGTCTGTATCATTGTGAATGTTTTGTCATTCAACTACAGAGCAAATTATAAAGGAAATAAAGACAAAATGTTAAAGGGTACTTACGTTCTAGCCCAATTTTTTTAGTATTAAGTTGTGTAAGTTTTAGATACAGCATAACTCCATTGCAGAAAAAATTAAAAATATTCTAGTTTCACTGCTATATATACTGTTAGTATAGTTGTTGAGTTTTTTCCTTTCAGTCACTTTTCATATGCATATATAGTGGTTTTTAAATAATCATACCATATATTCCATTTTTATTATGGTTCCTTCATCTATTGTCTTACCACACATATTTTTCTGCATTATGAAATAGTCTTCATAATTATTATGAAGCTACATAGCATTTCTTTGACTTGTACCATAATTTTATTGTGTGCCTGGCTCTGTTTTTTTTTTAATTCATTTTGTTGGTGAAGAAGGGCAGGATGGGTTGAGGAACACTAATAGTTAACTAATCATTGATTTTTATTTGGATATCAGGCTAAAAATATTGCAGAAATTTTGAAACCCATTCCCCAAAGTTTGATTCTGACTGGAAAAGGGAGTAATAATATTCATACCAAAATTATTTGTAGTTTCTAATGCATTTTTTAAAACTAGGTTTTCTTTATAAACCTGGGATTTTTAATAAATTTGTTCCCAAGGGTTCCCACAAGTCTAACTAAAACAAAGTAGTGTATACTTGGGAAAAGCTAAAGCTGGAAGATTCCAGGACAGTAAAGTTTTTTAACTTTGCAAAAAATTGGAATAAAAAGATCAGGTGCAGTGGCTCACACCTGTAATCCCAACACTTTGGGAGCCCAAGATGGGAGACTTGCTTGAGCCCTGGAGTTCAAAAGTAGCCCAGGTAACAAAGTGAGACCCCATTTCTACCAAAAAAAAAAAAAAGAGTGTGAAAGCATGTGCCTGTAGTCCCAGCTACTCAGGAGACTGAGGTGAGGCAATCGCTTGAGCCCAGGAGTTCAAGGCTGCAGTGAGTTATGATTGCACCACTGCACCCAAGCTTGGGCAATAGAACAAGACAAAAAGGGAGCGGGGGACAGAGATGCTTTAAGTTTAGCTTTTCATTGCATGAATTTTTGTGTAGCTTGTGTGTCCTTTGCATGATAGGAATAGTGGTATATCTTTTTTTTTCAACATCTTTTTTGGGATAGGTTTTAAATATCCTTGCCTCAATTTATTCATCTGTAAAATAGGGACAATAGAACTTATTTCATAGGGTGATTGTGAGGAACTTAAAACAGTACCAGAGTGTATGTTTTATTGTTTGCTAAATGAAAAACAAACTTTTAAACATTATCTCTTTAAAATAAAGATAATTGGGTGGTTGTACATGGTCTTTTGATTCAGGTAATCCTAGTTTAGAATACTAGTTTTCTTACTGTAAGATCTTGGGCAAGATATAACATTTCTGAGTAGAATTTTCTGTAATACAAAATGAAAATTTTACTAACTTTTTAAGTGGTTGTGTTAAAGGAAGTAATGTTTGTATTAAAATAAATGATGTTGGCAAAATTCTTAGAACATAATAAATATTCAATATGGTAAATATTTTTATTATTCTGGAACCTTCAATCATCAACATTCACATACACCTAGTGTTATATAGGAGAGACACATTTTAATTTATATTCTAGGTAAAATTCACCTCCTAAGAAACTAGACTCAGAACTCTATTTGCTATGAGGAACTCTTCATCTAGTTCTCCATATGCCTTCTTGTAGTTCTCCATAGGCATTCAAGAGAATTTCATCCTGAATATGAACATGGTGTCAGCAAATTTTCAGAGAATCGTTTAGGTTAAAAATTGAACTGATTTTTTTTCCAAGAAATTACCAGATTAACTATGGACCTTTCTCATGCTAAAACCAAGCAAATGTTAGCATTAGGTGTTTATAAAGGTAGCGTCAGGCAAGGCATGATGCACCTGTAGTCCCAGCTGTTCGAGCAGCTGAGGCAGGCGGATTGCTTGTGGCCAGGAGTTTGAGGCTGCAGTGTGCTATGATTGCACCTGTGGCTAGCCACTGCACTCAACCTAGCAACATAGTGAGTTGTCTCTTTTAAAAAATGAAGAAAAAAGGTAGTGCCAAAAATTACTAAATTTAAAGAAAAAAGTGTTTGTTATTTAAATATAGAAAGAAGGAGGGAGGGAGAGACTTCAGGTAAACAAAATTTTTTCATACATTGTGAATTATATGTCATCTTTAATATTCATCCTTAATGTTTATTCTCATTTTCCTTGGCATAATTTTATTGAAAGTTGTTTTCTGTGAGCCCTGATACAATCTGTTTTCATTTCTATAGATGACAAAATTGAGAACAGATTTGCAGCTGAAAGAGATGAGTATGGATCATATACAATGAGTGAGATAAATATTGTTGGCCGAATTACACTAAATCTTTGGAGAATCATGAGAAATGAGGTAGGTGATTTATCCAAAATGTTGTTTGGAAATAAGATATTCGGTCAATATAATGATTTAATCATTATAGAGTATTAGTAAGATTTACTATATAGCTTATGCGTTTGTCAATTACTATTATACTTAAGTAGAGTTAAAGTAGTACTTTCTAAAATGCAAAACTACAGAGGTATTAGACTTTAATGTTTCAGGTGAGTTTTATTTTTTTTTTCTTTGTGTCTGAGGTAGCAATAATTAGAAAGGTCTAAACTATAATAAAATATTGGGGCCAGGCACAGTGCTCACACCTGTAATCTCAGCACTTTGGGAGGCCCAGGCAGGGGCATCCCTTGAGCTCAGGAGTTCCAGACCAGCCTGAGCAATATGGCAAAACCTTGTCTCTACAAATAATAGCTAAAAAAATTAGCTGGATGTGGAGGCACATGCTTATGGTCCCAGCTACTTGGGAGGCTGAGGTGGGAGAACCATTTGAGCTCAAGCAGCTAAGATTGCAGTGAGCCGTGATCATGCCACTGCACTCAAGCCTGGGTGACAGATCGAGACCCTGTCTCAAAATAAAATAAAATATTGTGTTGTACACGTTGAATATTGTCTAATTTCACCATTTTTTTTTTTCACTTAAATCATTTTTGCACTTAAAGCCGGATGAATTCAGCTTGGCCTCGTTGATTTATTATAGTAAGAAAAATTTAGTCGAGGAGAAATAGGAAGGAGCTTCTCAAACGAACTATATTTAAATACTGGGTCAGATTAATAAGATAAATTAAAGAGACAGTACTTTGAAATAGTTAATAATTAAGGCTTTGGGGGCTCAGATAAGGATTTTTAGTAGAGTAATTTCAATGAACTATCACATTAATTTGCATTCACTTAAAAAAGGAATTATTTCACACAAAAAAAGTAAGATCATGGAATTTTCCTGGATAATATTTGCATCCTTGAAGTTACCCAATTTCTCTTATTTGAAATGTAAAAAAGCCATACATGGTGGCTCACACCTATAATCCCAACTCTTTGGGAGGCCAAGGCAGGAGGGGTTAGCTTGAGGCCAGGTGTTCAATCAAGACCATCCTGGGTAACAGCGAGACCTTGTCTCTATTAAAAATAAAAAATAAACAATTAGATTGGGCACGGTGGCTCATACCTGTAATCCTAGCACTTTGGGAGGCCAAGTAGGGTGGATCACTTGAGCCCAGGATTTGAGACTAGGCTGGGCAACACAGCAAAACCCCATCTTTACCAAAAAATACAAGTTAGCCATGTATGGTAGCGTGTGCCTAGTGTGTAGCCAGGCAACAGCTACTTGGAAGACTGAGGTGGGAGGATCACTTGATCCTGAGAGCCAATGGCACACACATATAGTCCCAGCTTATCAGGAGACTCAGCCAGGAGGACCTTTTGAGGCCAGGAATTCAAGGCTGCAGTGCACTGTAATATTATACCTCAGAGGCAGCATTGCAGTGAACTGAGATTACACCACCACACTTCAGCCTGGGCGATAGAGCTAGAGTCTATCTCAAAAAAGACAAAATAGAAACAAAGATACCTAGTATAAATTGGTCTATTCTTAGACTTTGGACTTTGGATAGTATCAACTAAAATGTTTATATTTCAAAGAAAGCTAATTCTACAATTGCTTCTGCTCTTTGAAATTACTTTCACATTAGACACTTTCTATTATATACTTATTATTCGCTATTGTCTTCTTAGCTCTTTGGATTTATATAAAACATTTGACTTTCTAAGCTGCCGTATGCAATATACAACATGACTCTGCTTGAGAATAATTTTACCTTGTTGTGTTGTTCTTAAAGTAATAAGAGTGAAAGTCCCCAATGATTTAAAGTAATTTCTAGTGATACAGCACAGGATATAGGAGATACAGAGATTGTAATGTATTTGGTGTGTGTATTTCATTTTATATATATATATATATATATTTTTTTTTTTTTTTTAATTTGATTTGTTTTTGAGATGGAGTCTCGCTTTGTCACCCAGGGTGGAGTGCAGTGGTACAGTCTCGGCTCACTACAACCTCCGCCTCCTGGGTTCAAGCGATTCTCCTGTCTCAGCCTCCCGAGTAGCTAGGATTACAGGTGCCTGAACCACACCTGGCTAATTTTTGTATTTTTAGTAGAGACGGGGTTTTTCCTTGTTGGCCAGCCTGGTCACAAACTCCTGACTTCAAGTGATCCGCCCACCTTGGCCTCCCAAAATGCTGGGATTACGGGCGTGAGCCACTGCCCCGGCCTCACTATGTATTTTAATCTATAGTCTGATATTGCTTGAGATGAACACATACTTTAAGTGTATAAACACAAAAGTAAATTATTGAATCCTAGTTTCAGGGGTCTTTTCATCCCTGTATATCCACTAGTAGCTTAAAATCGGAAATTAGAGAACATATATTTTTTTCAAAGTTTAGGGCCTTGTCTAGTCCTCACTGAAAATTCAGGGTCAAATGTTTTCTTATTTAGGATGAATATATACTATCTCTGATCTTTATACAAATGTGGGAAACAACTATAAGAAAGTTATGAGCTGGATAATTTACCTGTTTTATAAAATTTGGAACTGGGTACAGTGGCACACACATGTAGTCCCAGCTACTTAGGAGACTCACGTGGGAGGACGTTTTGGGGTCAGGAATTCAAGGCTGTAGTGTACTATTTATTATGCCTGTGAATAGCCACTGTACTCTAGCCTGGGAGCTAAAACAGGACCCCATCTCTTAAAATAATAGTAATAATAAATTTTGTTTGTTTTTTAATATACAGGTACTAGATTTATTTTTCCTGCTTTACTTTGAACATAGAACTCCGGCAGTTTCCTTATGGACTTTGAATTTGTAGTGACAAAACAAAATACCTCTTAAATAGTAATCTTTATTAGATATTTGTTGACTGCTTAAATGACAATAAATGGCTCTTCCCCAGACAATTACATTTAGAGGCCTTCTGGATGTCAACTCAATCTAGGCTTTTCAAGAATTTGCCAAGTGGGTTGGAAACAGACTTGATTCAATTCAACAAATATTTACTGATTGCCATCTCTAGTGCACTGGTTGAAGGGCCTGGGTTTAGATAAAGTAAGAGTATAGTAACAGACAGGAAGGCAGAATATATGGGTATGGATGTTGGTAGGTAGAGATATGGCAGTGAGAATCTGTGGAAGTTCTCTTGTGATTCATTTTCTCAGTAGAATAGCAGTTACTGTTCTTAGCTGAAACTGAGAATTGTGGAGAGGCTTTTGGGGTTTGAGAAGAGAGAAGTTTGAAATGGTTATTAGGAGAATTTGAGAGAAAATATAAACACTGGGCCACATTAAGAGTCTATTTGATATTTGGGTTAGGAAATTAAAGTGATATACCCACCAGCTATGTTTAAATTCACAGATTCAAGTTAGATTTAACCATCACTCACAAATGGTTATGGATTTACTTAAAAAAAATAAACAGCAGCAGCAGCAGCAGGAGAGGGAAAGGGAATGAATGGTACATGCAGGGGAATGATTACCATGATTGACTATGAAATTTAAACTAAATAAGGAGCAGAGAGGTCAGAGCACCAAGGGGAGTAAGCTGGAAGCACAGGAGATGATGGTCAGAGAATGGGTTGCATGAGATTTTGGAGGGAGTACACCTGTTCATAGATCCTGGGGTATGATTATGGAAGTGGGTAGCGTAGGTAGAATGGAGGACAAAATCATTAGAGAAGAGGAGTTCGAGGAGTCAAGGAGTATCTTTGTTTTCTTCCCACATAATTGTTACACTTACTGCATATAAAATAACAGCGGTCTTTTTCCTTTAAAATTCAAATAGATATAGTGCCATTCACCTCTGGAATGTAGTACGGCAGAGGAGAAATCTGAGGTCCAGCTAATTATATCTTTGATTATTGCTCCTGTCTCCGTATTAAGCTTTCCTTTAGGAACCTAATTATATATTAACATTCTGTTCTCTGTTCCCCGTATCTTCCCTCTTCTCATTTTCATCTTTTCATTCTCTTTATCTGCATGTTGAGACATTTCCATATTCCTAACTTGATTTTTAGTAGAACTATTCTGCTATTATCTTCTTTCAATATGGGTTTTTTCATTCTGTTAGTGATTTTATAATCCTTCCTCATTTAATCTTGTGGCATTTTCCTCATTCTATTACTCTCTACCTTTTTACAACCTATGGGGGCATCTGTGTATATGTATACATACACAAGTACATGCACACACTGTGAAGTATGCTGCATTGTACTGCCATTGTTCTGAAGATTGACAGAAATTGTAGATAAAGTAAGACCAATTTGGGTCACTGCACTGAGATAAGATTAACATTCAGTCCCTATTTTGTACCTCCTGGATCACAGGAGTGGAAAAGAAAGTAATTTAAAATTGTAATATACAATTGTGAAGTGCTGTTTGAACTATTTCTCAGAATCTCAAATTGACCTAAGAATGGAGACCACTGGTTCCTTAATTTCCATTTTGCATTGAAATACCTGCCATTGTTTAGATTGCTTTTGTCTTGTAGATATTTCAGAGAAATCATCTAGCTGAAAGTACATATTTATTAATTTGGGCCCTTTTGCAGGATCTTTTACCCATTAACACAGCTTTCACTTATATATTTTGAAGATGGGGAGACATTTCTGACATTTTAATATTTTGCTTTTGGAATGAAATTGAGTGTCTCTATAATAATGCCTGTGTAGTGGGGTCTAGTAACGTAATTATTGGGAGGAGAATGCCTGCCTTTAACTAGATAACTTATCCTCAAATCTGTGGAATCCCATTAATCAGCATGTCATCAAGAACCAAAAAGTAAGTATGGAAAGAACAAAAAATTAATTTGCTTGACAATGCTTCTGTCAATATGCATATTATCATAGAGTATAAAAATGGTAAGAACTAGGATCTCTTAAAATAAGTCTTATATGACCAAGTTGAATCTCATCAGGTCTGTTTTCTCTAATTAATTTTCCAATTTGTTAAGAACATTTCTGTCCAGTAGGCTCTACATAGTTTTGAATTATGATTCAGTTATACCACACATCAATTTTACAAGTAGCTTTAATATCTACTATGAAAAGGTTAAAGTGATATTGGTATCTTTTAGAACAAAATTTGCTACATAAACGTAAGCATTATTGTAATGATGTCTTGCCTTTTTGTTTTAGGTGGCTCTAACTAACTACACCTTTGAAAATGTGAGCTTTCATGTTCTTCATCAGCGTTTTCCCCTCTTTACCTTTCGAGTCTTGTCAGATTGGTTTGATAACAAGACAGATCTCTACAGGTACTGTTTTATAACTCTGAAGAAGATAATATAAAATCATCATTGAGATGCAATTTATATGTAATAAAATACACACATTTAAAGTGTATTGTTCAGGCCGGTTGTGGTGGCTTACACCTGTAATCCTAGCACGTTGGGAGGCCGAGGCGGGCATATCACCTGACGTCAGGGGTTCGAGACCAGCCTGGTCAACATGGCAAAACCGCGTCTCTACTAAAAATACAAAAATTGGCCAGGTGTGGTGATGCATGCCTGTAATCCCAGCTACTCAGGAGGCTAAGGTAGGAGAATCACTTGAACCTGGGAGGCAGAGGTTGCAGTGAGCCGAGATCGTGCCTCTGCACTCCAGCCTGGGCGACAGAGTGAGACTCGTCTCAAAAAATATATAAATAAATGAAGTGTATTGTTCAATGACTTTGAAAAATGCATTTATCTTGTAATCATTACTCCAGTCAAGATAAGGAGCATATCTGACACCCAGAAGATTCCCTAATCATCTAGATAATTACTAATTGGATTTCTATTACTCTAGATTAGTTTTGCCAATTCTAGAACTTCATATTAATGGAAATATTCATAATCAACCTTGGCTTTGAAGAAACTCAGAAAACATACTGTTTTCTGGGATTTACCCTGTTGCATAGTTTGTTCATTCTTATTGTTAGATAGTATTCAATTATATGAATAGAACTTACCCACTCACCTGTTGTTGGACATTTGGGTTGTTTCTAGTTTGAGGCTATTATGAATAAAACTGCAATAAATATCTGCATAATGTCATCGTGTGAACACACGTTTTCATATCTCTTAGGAGTAGAATTGCTGGGTCATATGGCTATTGTGTGTTAATATTTTAAGAAACTTAATCTGTTTTCTTTGGCAAGTCTGTCGGCAAAAATTATGTCAGCCCTTGTTTATGTGAAAATGTCTTTATTTCACCCTTATTTTTGAAGGATGATTTCTCAGTCTCAGTTGCGTTTTTTTCTTTCACCACTCTAAAGATTTTGTTCCCTTTTCTTCCAGCCTCTCTTTTTGCTGATGAGAAGTCAACAGTTATTCTCATTTTTCTAGTATTTGTGATTCATTTTCTTTCCAAAGTCAGATTTACTGAGTGGTTGACTGATGTTGCTTATGACTCTCTGCAAGGTTTATAGTGGAGGCAGGGGGAGTTTCTCAGTTCTCCCGTCTAACCTCAGTCTTTGGTTCTTCCTGTTCTTCTGGGGTTTGCTCAGCACTCCTGCTCTTCCCACAGTGGCAATAGACCTCTGCTTTGTACCACTGCCAGGTCCTGGGCCCAAGTAAACTTCCTGACCCTCCCCCTGGGGCAGATAGCATTTTCTTCTACTCCTTTCTCAATGATACTATTCCTTTGCCTGGAATCTATGACAGGAAGTTTTCCTGCCACTTTTCCAGTTGCTTATTATTTAGTTCAAAGCCTATGGTTGGAACAGGTAAGTATACCAGGCCCAAGGTGTTCCTAAGCTTCTCCAACTTGATGTGGGATTCAGTCTCCAAACTGTCGTCTGTACATATTGTCAGTATTTGGTTTTAAGTTTTATCTAGAGTAGGCCTTTCTGTAGGGCAAAGGCGTCTGTGTTTTCTAGGCTCACAACTGAATGCCAAGGTTGTTAACAAGAGGGTGATGAGGTCTCCACTCTGGCACTGGTGAGCTTCCAACCCCAGCACTATCTGACCATTTCTGCCCACACTTAACCCTCAGTGAGCTGCTCTCTATTCAGCCTCATGTGGTTTCATCCTGCTGGTTTTCAGGACAGCCTTGAGCTGTCACTCACAGGGAATCCACCTGTACTTCTGACCCCCCAACTCCTGCCACTTGCACAACTCCCTTTCTCTCTCATACTCTATCCCACAGACTCCACCTGTGAGCTGCCTAAATGAACTCTGAGCTCTTCATCTTTGGCTTAGTAGGACAGCCTTGCTCTGTGTAGACTCTGGCACACTGCACTGTATGTAGGAAAAGTCCTGAAATTAATGTGTCTGATTTTTTAAATGAATCAACTGTACTTACTGAATTGTAAGGCTGTGTGGTGGTGAGGATGGAAAAAGTATATCTTTGAAAACAGCTTGGTAATATCTGGGGAAACTGCTTCCTGAGCATGTCATCCAGTCCCTTTTGAGGAATCTCAGAGAAGTGAAGTGAAGTAACAGAGAGCACTTAGCTTCTATCAAAGCCTTATAGAAATAGAAGCTGAGAAGTTGGCCAAGTGCGGTGGCTCACACCTGTAATTTCAGCGCTTTGGGATGCTGAGGTGGGTGGATCACCTGAGGTCAGGAGTTGGAGACCAGTCTGGCCAACATGGTGAAACTGCATCTCTACTAAAAATACAAAAAATTAGCCGGGCACACCTGTAATCCCAGCTACTCCGGAGGCCGAGGCATGAAAATCACTTGAACCCGGGAGCAGGAGTCAGAGGTTGCAGTGAGCTAAGATCACGCCACTGCACTCCACTCCAGTCTAGGTGACACAGCAAGACTCCATCTCAAAAAAAAAAAAAAAAAAACTGAGGAGAAGTTATACACCAATAAATAAAACTTGATATTTAACTTAACATTGAAAACTATATTCAGTGGTTTGTTTATGAGCCCCAGAGTCTCTAAATGCATGTTTTACCACCTTTAATTAGGTATTATCTAGGATGATAACTGTTTTTGGCAAGTGAACTAGAGAACTGGAACTAACATTGTATAGAAGGGACTTAGACTAGACATTATACCATTTATGTCAAATGGATTATGTTATACGAAGAGACCATGCACTCTTTCTTTGAATAGTCTTGGAAATATCAGACAACTTCATCCTTAAATTTAAGTGAATACTAACTTAAATTTAAATGAATACATATTAACTTTAAGTGAATACAAAAAAGTAAGTATCACTTACTTTTTTGGTAAGTATGGTAACCCCTTTTGATTTGTATTTGCTTTCTACAGTGTTTTAAGGACATACATATATATTGTAAATCGACTTAGAATGAGAAGAACTTGCTAGTCAAGGATTTTTTTGTGTTAAAGCTGTAAAACACAAAAGTACCCTAATTTTTTTTTAATAAACCCAGATTTTGGTCTCCTGGAAGCCCCTGATTTATGTGAATGAGTTATTTTCCCAACATTTTATTGTTTCGAGCTTAGAACACATTTTTTCATAAAATAATGTCTTGTGATTAGATTCCCAAGCCAGCCTATAAAACTTTTCCTAATCTCTAATATTACTAATCTAGATAATTCCTAATACCAGCATGATTTTATCTGTCATCCATGGAATAGTTATTAAATACTATTCCAGTTTCTGAGCTAAGAGGTATGTCCTGGGAGCAGAGTTGTGTAGCTGAAGAAGATAATATAAGAAATTTTATTTTCTATTTGCTGTATATAGAGTCAGTCCACAGAAAAACTTCAGAATAAGTGAATTTTGTACTCGGGATTCTCCTGTCTCCTTTTTTGTCACCTTCTCCCCAGATGAACTATCTTGAAAAGTACCCATGCCTTCAGAATGCTCTAAGTTCGCATTTCAGCACTACCCAGGCCTATCTTGAGTAGCATGTGCTTTATAATTATGCTTCCCTTCCTCCTTTCCAGATCAAAACTTGTATTTATTACCCTTAAATTTTCACAAAGCATTAAGAGGATGGCATAATTCTTTAACAACAATTTTAAAAACTAACAAGAGTCTTATCTTGTCCTTTAACCATAAGTAAAGGCTGCAATTACTCTTTCTCTTTTGTGTTACATGGTTAGTGAGATAGGACCCGAAAGTAGAAATGATGATGATCTTATTTCAGAAAGATCACTGTTTTAAATTTAAAAGTCTACTTTTTAAATGCATTTTTTAAAAAATTAGCCATTCAAAATATTTTTTATGTTCATGCCTATAGGTCAGCAGATTTAGATCAGAAAACAGCAGTTGTTACCTGCTAGATAAATTATACAAGCTAAAATGTCCCTTGTTAAATTAACCTTTAGTTATGAAAGGTAAGATGCATCTAATTTGTGTATATTATTTGGTTACCAGTCAGTAGAGAGGAATACATTTAGTGAAATGCTTATTTCACCAAATAGTGAATGCTTATTCATTTCACAAAATGGTCTACCATTTTTGTTAGTGAGGAAATGAGTAATTTGCTGTGGTGATAGAAATTTAATAAGATAGTTACTCATTTGTAATGTATTATCTTGTTTTCTTTTCATCATGTTTTCATTTACTTGACCAAAATCTCAGTTTCTAGTATACCAGGTTTGTAAACTAGGACAGATTAGGCTTACAGTAATCCTCAGTTCTTTTATCTATAATAGAGAGATGTTAATATATTCTACCTCATGGAGTGAAGTAAGAATTAAATGAGATAGTATGAGTCTTGAACACACAGAAGTCTCTCAATAAATGTTAATTGGTACGTCTTTCTTTTCAGGATAGAGAATTAGATTCTGAATGAAATGAGGAAATAGTAATTACCATAATTATAATAATAGCTGCAAAGGTTATTAAGTTTTTGCTTTTGCCTAACACCTTACAACAACCTTATTATTACCACTGTTTCACACATACTGAAACTGAGAGCTAGAGAGTTAAATGATTTGCCTAGGGTCACATAGTAGCTTGCAACAGAGCCACAATTTGAACCTAGGACTATCTCACTCCAGAGTCTGCTGTCAACCAATGTGTGAAAATCTCTTAGACTGTATTCTTCAAAATGTGAAATAAACCATTTTCACTTAAAAAAAAAGAATTATATATAGTATAGTAAAAATATTTCTTTTGAAATATACTATTATACCCATTTATTTAAGTTCTAATAGACTATACTGCCTCAAAAATGGCATCGATCTTAGTCAAATAACTTAAATCAGGAGCCTTTAAAGATTCAGTTTAATTAGTTTTGTATACAAAGTATTTAGACTTACTTTCACCATTTTTGCCCAAAAAACAAACTTTTTGTACCTCATTAAATAACATCAACAAAAGTAAAAAGCTAACATCAACCTAGGAAAACCATTTTCACCATAACAGTTACGTATATTAACTGTATTATATACTTTTAAATTAGTAAAAAAAAAAAAATGGGTAAAAGACATGAACAACTATCAAAGGAAAAAAATCCTAAAATATTCAAATGTCTACCTCATATACAGTGTATAAATACCTTAATAAATACCTTACTAAAGGAATTCTTAATCTGCTGATTATGTTCTTAATTGTACCATGAATTACAAAAACCTATTGGCAAAATCAGTCTCATTTAAAAAAAAAAAAAAAGACTTTAGGCTGGAGTAAACAATGAAAATAAACCAGTATGTTTTAAAACACATTTTCCAAAACAAATTATCATCAACATACTTCAAGTGGTAACTCTTCTCCTGAATCACCGCCTACAGATTTCAAGGAAATATTCATGTCTAGTCAGCATGATAATCTGTTGAGACAGATTCTTATATAAGTTTTGTGTAACACATACCTTTTTAAAGTCTTCTGTTAAACCTGTGTTGGTTGAGACTTAACACTTACTTTTCTCATCTTTTACAAATCTCAGCAAAATGCTTGTGTGCTGCCTGGCATTTTCAGAAATTATGTTGGTGTCTCACTATTTTGGTATCTCATTTGGCACGTTTCTCCAGGTCAGCTCTCTGTCCATATGTTGAGAGGGCAAAATGTAAATGTATCTCATTTTTCTGCACTATCCATAGATAAATCCACACATCCTAAAGGAGTGGTGAGCCGTTAAATCCATTTTGTTTTATTTTAAAGGGACTGATTTGATTTATATATAATGCATTATTTCAGATTTACACTTTGCAGTTTTGTATTGTTGAGGGGTTACTAAAACAAAAAAAAATCAGATTAAAATGTGATACCATTTTTTGTCTATCAAACTCATAACTTTAAAAACTATAATCTTCATTGTTGACAAATATACAAGGAAACAAGCACTTTATCATCAGGAGTATGAATATAAATTATTAAAACTTTTCTGGAAAGCAGTGTATTGCTAGGTATTGAAAACTGACCAAATCTGGGAATTTATTTTAAGGAATTATTTAATCATCTGTACAAAGACTTAGCTTTAAAAATGTTCATCACAGCATTGCTTACAGTAATAAAAGATACTCAGTAAATGTTTCGATTAAATATGTTATAATTATACAATAGCATACTCGATAGCTACAAAACAAATATGGGGAGTCAGTATATTCAGTTAAAAATGTAAATTATGAAACAGAATTTCTGTTTATTTTGTTAAACAATTATTTATAGAGTTTAGGATTTTTTCATGTTTGCCTAATGTTTTAACAGCTTTATTGAGATATAATTTGTATATCATACAATTCACCCATTTAAAGTATATGACTCACTGAGTTTTAGCATATTCAAAGTTGTACAACAGCATCACAGTAAGTTTTAGAATATTTTAATTACCCTAAATGGAAATCCTGCATCGTGTAGCCACCACTCTTCAACCTTTCATCACTCCTATCACCCCCTCCACCAGAGTCCCCCCACCCTCTACCTCTTGCCTTAGACAACCACTGATCTACTTTCTGTCCCCATAGATTTGACTATCCTCGACATTTCACGTTAACAGAATCACGCAATATGTAATCTTCTGTGGCTGCCTTCTTTCAGCATATTGCTGTCCAAATTTGTCCATGTTATAGCATCTTTCAGTATTTCTTTTATTGCTGAATAATACTGTATTGTATCGATATATACTACATTTTATTTCTTCATCAGTTGATAGACATTTTGGTTGTTTCCACTTTGGGCTACTGTGATTAATACTGGAACATTCATATATAGTGTTTTGTGTAGATATCTGTTTTCATTCCTTTTGGATGTGTACCAAGGAGTAGAATTTTTGGTGGATTATATGGTAACTCTGTGTTTAACTATTTGAGGAACTGGCAAATTATCTTCCCAAGCAACTACACTATTTTATGTTCCCACCAGCAGTATATGAGGGTTCCAGTCTCTCCACTTTTTTGCTAATACCTGTTGTTATCTTTTTTATAATAGGGTTTTTTTTTCTTCCTTCACATTCATTTTCTAGTTTTTCTATTAAGCATTAGTCATGTGTCAGAGGAAAAGGTTTTTAAACACATTTATTGAACAATTATGTGACTATATTGTTCTAAAAGCAATATAATTAAAGATTACAATATATGTGAACCTTAATCTTCAAATGAATAAATTGTATTCCTTATAGTATACTTTTGGATCATTTTTACATTTTATAATATCAAAATTCATTTTATGGATTTGCTGAGGGCTTTATTGTTTATTTTCTTAAGAAGGTAAGGTAAAGAGGTTAATTTTTTAAGGTTTAAACTGAAAAACAAAACTTTTATATTTTCACAAAAAATAATTATTTGAAATATGTTTAACCCACGTATTATCTCACTAAAAATTATGTTACTGATTTTTCTGAATCTTCACCAAATTACTTTTTTTACCATGAAAAGATAGTGCATGTTTTTATTTTAGACTTATATTTACAATGATAACCCAGACCCTTCATGTTCTTTAAAAATTTATAGATATGATAATAATTATTGCATAATCAGTAACTGTATCTTAAAGGAGAATGTTAATTTTCTATAATAAGAATAGAGCAGCATCAAGCAAAATATCAAAAAATAGTGATCCTTAATCTTACCACCTAATCACAAGCACTGTTTTAAATTTTGCTTATTTTTCCTGGCTTTTATGTCCTTGAAATACCTGAAATTTTCTAATGTTTTATTCCTTAACATACTTGGCTTAAAGGCTTATATCATTACTCTTTCCCTAAGTAACCACACTTTTAGCATGTAGATTTTTGGCAGGAAAAAAGTACTGTTTTCAAGTGTCCAAATTTTTCCCTGATGTTCATAATGTGGATTCTTTTTTAACAGATGGAAAATGGTTGATCATTATGTTAGCCGTGTCCGTGGAAATCTCCAAATGTTAGAACAACTGGACCTGATTGGGAAAACCAGTGAGATGGCTAGACTTTTTGGCATTCAATTTTTACATGTACTGACAAGGGGTTCACAGGTGGGAAATCAGTTTTCTTGCAGACTTGAAAGTTCTGTATGAGTGATACACTTTTGTGATATTTGAAGTGATTTGACTTTTTAAACTTTCTGTTTGGTACCAACTAATCAATAGCTGGGTAATAAAATCTTATCATTTTATTCTCTTTCTATGCCAACTTTCCAGCCACTGCCAAGTGTTTTATGGTATTAAGAAAATAAATGTCCATGCCCTTAAGGATATTATATTCCTGTATATTGTTACTGTGATTAAAGATGCCCCTTAAAACTGGAGAAGCAACAAAGAAAGTCTACCTTTCTTTTGTTTTACATGTTTAATTTTGGCTTCTTAAAACTTCCCGTAGTTAATTTTAATATAAAAATAAAAAGCTTGAAAATCAATATAAGTGGACTATGTAACTTTTTAAAATGTTATTAAAAAAAAAACGTGAAAAGCTATTTAATTCATGTCTTTCTAAGTAATTTCCCAAGCATATAATGAGAGATTTTTACTAAACACCTTGCTGAAAATGATTTTATGTATTAATTCAACAAATATGTATTTGAATACCTGTAGTTTGTTAAGCACTGTGGTAGGCATCAGGGATACCATATTAAAACACTCAGATTCCTTAACCTTGTAAAATCCTTAATTATTTTAATTACCTGTATCTATAACATTCCTCAATCAACCAGTTCAGTAAATATAGCAAAAATAGAGTTCCAGCTAGTTTTATCTGTTTATTTCATTTAATTGTTTATAAGCTATTTATTTTATTTATACCCATCAAATTTAACACCTATTTGAGCTAGCCTGTAATAAAAGGCAAAGATACCTTAAAACCTCATGAGAACACTTCAGTGAACCCAGGCTGGTTCTTGTGAGTAATTTTTTTTTTCTGATACCCCAGGCCATCTGCTTAATAGTTATTATTAGAAACAAACATACCAGTAATTGCTTGATTCAGTTTTGCTAGGGACCAGTAATAAGCTGATTACTATTCAGTTCTTTTTTTATTATTTTTTAATTATTTCCACAACAAAAGCCACATTCAATACTTTATAATTCTATAATCATTTTGTTTGTTTCTTTGAAAAACTGGGATAACATTTTCTATCTTAAGTCTCATGACAGCTTTTTCATTCTCTTAATTTTCCCAAATAAATGTCTCCAAGATGATTGACCAACTTCTTAAATGAAATTGTCAAACTATACAGCTGTCTGTCCTACACTTTTTTATTATGGTATAACTGTAAATAAAGAGGGCCAGGCACAGTGGCTCACGCCTGTAATCCCAGCAGTTTAGGAGGCCAAGGTGGGGGATTACTTGAGGTCAGGAGTTCAAGACCACCTCGGCCAACATGGTGAAACCCCATCTCTACTAAAAATACAAAAAGTAGCTGGGCGTGGTGGCGCAAGCCTGTAATCCCAGCTACTCAGGAGGCTGAGACAGGAGAATCTCTTGAACCCTGGAGGGGGAGGTTGCAGTGAGCCGAGATTGTGCTGTTGCACTCCAGCTTGGACAACAGAGCGAGACTTGATCTCAAAATAAATAAGTAAATAATAAAAATAAAAAGAGATCTAATTGCATCTGTCCTTTAAAATTGACTTATCTTTTAAGTTATTTGACATGTTTTATAGTTTTTATAAAAGTCATAGGAATAGGAAAAGGATTTACATATATCCCTTTTCACATCTGAAAGCTGACTGAATAACTAGTATTGCAGGCTGGGCATGGTGGCTCACACCTATAATCCCAGCACTTTGGGAGGCCAAGGTGGGCAGATCACGGGAGGTCAGGAGTTCGAGACCAGCCTGACTAACATGATGAAACCCTGTTTCTACTAAAAATACAAAAAATTAGCTGGACATGGTGGTGTGCGCCTGTAATCCCAGGCTGAGGTAGGAGAATCACTTGAACTCGGGAGGCGGAGGTTGCAGATTGCCGAAATCGCACTGTTGTACTCCAACTTGGGCAACAAGAGTGAAACACCATCTCGGAAAAAAAAAAAAAACTAGGACTGCAGAAAAAAAAAAAAAAGTCATACAATCTTATTCTGAAAAGCAGATTATCCTCAAATGATTGTATATTCAAATTACCAATGTATTTAAACTGTGTTTCTTCTCTTCTCACCTCCCGTTCTCCGCGCAGTACCGTGTGGAATCAATGATGTTGCGTATTGCTAAACCAATGAACTATATTCCTGTGACACCTAGTGTTCAGCAAAGATCCCAAATGAGAGCCCCACAGTGTGTTCCTCTGATTATGGAGCCTGAATCCCGCTTCTATAGCAACTCTGTTCTTGTTTTGGATTTCCAATCACTTTATCCTTCCATCGTGATTGCATATAACTACTGCTTTTCCACCTGCCTTGGCCATGTGGAGAACTTGGGAAAGTAAGGTTTTTTTTCACATTTACAATGATGTTGTGCTTTGTACTTCTTACTAAAATTAGACACTTTCTGAGTGTCTCTTTGCTCTTGACACCTTCCCTACGGGCAAGATAAATGGGCTATATCCCAGCTAATCCATTCATTGTAATTGTCTTACTAATTGACATGGATCACTGTCTGATTAATCCAGCTTCATGGATGGATGACTCATGAAGAGGATTGGGAATAGATCAGCCTTGCAACTGTTTCACTCCATATGTAACTATGGTCTCTCTTAAAATGAAAGTTAAATTGTTGATATAAATTACTTTGCAGTGGAACAGTTTGAAGATTATGATCTTGTAACTCCAACTATGACCGCCTCTTTATTTTTCTTATAAATAGTCCAGGATTTTAAAAATTAAATGGCAGGTTTTATTGATTAATGTAAATTAAATTTCATAAACTGATAATAACATTTTAAATTCTCAAAGGATTAGATACTTTTCTTGATTTGTAGGAAATACGGAGTCTTCCTTTTTATTGATTTTTGCGTATTGGAGACCATGTGTTGGTTTTAGTATATGCTATACTCCTTCATAGAAAGCATCTGTGGAAATTATATTGGTAATCCTGTCTTTTTATTAAAAACAGGAATTTGGAAAATTTACAAGATTTACAGTCTTTCTATTTAAGGTTTAAATTCTTCTTTAAATATGTTCACAAGGATGTTCAATAAAAATAAATTTTTATTTAAGTAATTTAGTATAAGATGATTGGGCTGCACGCAGTGGCTCACGCCTGTAATCCCAGCACTTTGGGAGGTTCAGGCAGGCGGATCACGAGATCAGGAGATTGAGACCATCCTGGCTAACACGGTGAAACCCTGTCTCTACTAAAAATGCAAAAAATTAGCCCGGCATGGTGGTGGGTTCCTGTAGTCCCAGCTACTCGGGAGGCTGAGGCAGGAGAATGGCATGAACCCAGGAGGCAGAGCTTGCAGTGAGCCAAGATCGCACCACTGCACTCCAGCCTGGACAACAGAGGGAGAGTCCATCTCAAAAAATAATAAAATAAATAAAATAAGATGATCAGATGTTGAAATTTGGTTTTCAGTATAGATTTTACCCATAAATTTTAGGATAGTGCCATTTAAGAAACATTTATTGTAATAAATTGTGAATCTTTGAAAAACTGTTTTGGTAATGAGACAAATAAACATATTACTAATTACATGAATTCACGTTTAGATGTTTGAAAATCAATTTCTAATGGAGTTAGAAAGATTTTTTAAATTGCCTAAAATCTCTGTTCTATGATTTGAGGAAGTGTTTGCTTAATATTCTCTTTCTTAACAGGTATGATGAGTTCAAATTTGGCTGTACCTCTCTGAGAGTACCTCCAGATTTACTTTACCAAGTTAGGCATGATATCACAGTGTCCCCCAATGGAGTAGCTTTTGTCAAGGTAATACTCTCTTGTAAATGAAAGATAACAACTATGGCTTAACTTTTGGAGAGCTGATAATGGTTTAGATATTGTTGGCACATAATAGAAAACAAAAACACCAAGTTTGCTTGAATATTTTATCTCAAAAAATCAAAGATACAAGAATCATCTAAGAAATCACTTCAGGAACAAACCAGTCACCTTGATTTTTCTTGAATTTAGGTTTTAAATCTTTAAATTGTTAAATTTTAGTTAATGAAATATTGAAAGAAATAAACGTACGCTTATACCTTCTGCCCTTTATTAGAACCAGACTGACTTAAATAGCAACTTAATGGTCAAAATATATTACCTACAGAGATTTAAATTTCTTTAATGTGTAGATGCTACTAGTTGTTCTTCTACATTATTTTAAATTAAGACTATCTTAGAATTAATGATACTGTAATAGGCTTATTTATTATATTTTTAAGAAGATATCCAAACTAAAAATAGGATCCCTTTTTTCTCTCCTGTATCTCCCCTCAAAAGAGACAAAAGAAAACTTTATAAATTAAAGACAAATAAGAGAGATCTAAAAGATTATATTGCCTCTTATATGCCAACTTCATTCCTTTCTTTTCTATTTTCTTAGCAGTGAGTCTGTACTAGAATCATGAGACAGTAGAGTGGTTGATGGTAGAGGGGACCCCACCAGCCCTCAAATTCATTCTGGTGTACTATATCAAAAGTAGCATCATTCTCTATCAGTAAGAGGGAATGCTAAACTAAAATTAGCAATGTAGATTAAGAAAATTTTAACCAAAGAGTTCATGGTATGTTTCTTTTTGGAAAATTTTAAAATGTAGTATTTCTAGGAACTGATGTAGATGAGATCTACTTGGAGAAATGGAAATAGATTTTTTTTTAATTAAATGGGTCTTTATATAAAAATCAGTTTTCACATCACATTTCTGCAAATTTGGTCCCTGTTCTTTTTATCTTATGTCTTAAAACATTATGGCTGCTTCAAAATGTACACCAAATGAATTAGAGGTTAGAATATGTTCTCATTGTGGCATATCTGGCAGCTTATTATCTCCCTTTAACAGTTTTTTTTAAAACTTGCGTCTACTTTTGGACCCAGTGTGTAAAGCTTAATAAAAATAGGATTTTTTAAATATTCAGGTGTGTGATGATCCTATACCTGAGATTTTAGTTGCTAGGTCCGACATGCATTACCTTGCACGTGTCTGTGAATCATCATCAAAGTTAATACTGTTTTGTGGTTTTCATTCCTACTGGAGTTCTCATAAATTCTCCCTAGTCTTGATTAATACAAATGATTTTTTTTTGGCATCAACAAATTTTATCACCTCACTATTCATCCCCTCTTCCAGATTGCTAATAAATGTAGGCCGGAGGGGATGGCTTAGTGGTCTAAGCATCAGATTTGAAATACCTAGAGTCCCTGGAACTGCAGGTTTGAATGTCAGCAGAGTCAACCCAGCTCATCATTCTTCCAAGGTAGATAAATGGAGTTCCATGCAGATTTCTGTGTGGGGTCATTAGGATGAGATCTTTAAAAACTGAGTTGGTTATGAGTGATACAAGTCCCATCTGTCGTTTTGAAAGAATGGGGGTTTCTGTCAAAGTTTTGAACAAAATTTCCCTCTGAACTTGTTGTATGGTCACTTATGCACTAGTTGACATCCTCCTCCCTGGAGGTCTCTGAACTCACATGGAAGTGCTCTATTAGATTTATAAACATTGCAGGAACCATTTAGGAGAAAAATACTCTTCCAAGAAATAAAATGTGATGATTTTATATTGACGGCCACCAATACTATGGTCACTCTATTGTTAGCATGTTTCAATTCTCATGACAGTTGGCCATTATTATATTTTATGCTTCCTTCTTAATTATATAAATCTATAATGTTTGAGGGGTTTTAAACATTTTTTTTTTTCTTTATGATAGCCTTCAGTAAGAAAAGGTGTACTACCAAGAATGCTTGAAGAAATTTTGAAGACTAGATTTATGGTGAAGCAGTCAATGAAGACTTACAAGCAAGACAGAGCCCTGTCACGAATGCTTGATGCACGTCAGTTGGGACTTAAGCTGATAGCAAATGTCACATTTGGCTATACAGCTGCTAATTTTTCTGGGAGAATGCCATGCATTGAAGTAAGTGATACAAATCTGTAGTTTTTTTCAAAAGAGACTAAAATATAGCGAGGCACAGTGGCACTCACCTTGTATTCCCAGTTACTTTGGAAGCTAAGGTGTGGTATGGGGGGCTTCAGCCCAGAGTTGAATCGTGCCTGGACAACACAGTGAGACCTCATCTCTTTTTAAAAAGAAAAAAAAAAGCCAGGCATGGTGGCTCACACATGTAATCCCAACACTTTGGGACGCCAAGGCAGGCGGATCACGAGGTCAGGAGTCGCGACCAGCGTGGCCAACATGGTGAAACACCGTCTCTACTAAAAACACAAAAATTAGCTGGGTGTGGTTGTGGACACCTGTAATCCCAGTTATTCAAGAGGTTGAGGCAGGATAATCACTTGAATCCAGGAGGCAGAGGTTGCAGTGAGCCAAGATCACACTCCAGCCTGGGTGACAGAACAAGACTTGGTCTCAAAAAAGTGGCTCACACCTATAACCCCAACACTTTGGGAGGCCAAGACACGTAGATTACTTGAGCTCAGGAGTTTGAGACCAGCCTGGGCAACATGGTGAAACCCCATCTCTAACCAAAAATGCAAAAATTAGCCGGGCACAGTGTTATGTGCCTGTGGTTCCAGTTACTTGGGAGGCTGAGATGGGAGGGTCACTAGCGCCTTGGAAGTCAAGGTTGCAGTGAGCCATAATTGCACCACTGCATTCCAGCCTGGGTGACAGAACAAGACCCTGTCTCAAAAAAAAGAGAGACTAAAGCAGCATTAAATGAATGCCTGTTCATTCAAGCATTTCATTTTGTTTTAAAACTTTAATAAACCATTTCATTTCTATGACATAGGATCAGTTTTTCTCATACCAAGCCTCAATATGTACATATTCTTGGGGATCTGTGACTTTTCTCTGTATCTCGGTGTCTTTATTCCAATGATCATTTTAGAAATTAGCATACACATATTTCTGCATTATCTTCATAACTATACTTTAACTTTCTATTAGCATGAAATTTCAGTGCCACCTTTGTAGCAGTTTTTACAACAACCTTGGTAGTGCATAATTCATTTTATGTATTGACAAGAGATCTGATTATAGTTATATTGGCTTGTCCAAATGTCACAATTAGCCAAGTGTGGTGGTTCACACTCGTGATCCCAACAACTCAGGAGTCTGAGGTGGGAGGATTGCTTGAGCCCAGGAGTTCAAGACTAGCCTAAGCAACATAGTGAGCCCTTGCCTCTATTAATACATAAAATTGAAAACTAAAAAAAATGTTTTGAGTCAGAATAAACAACAATCATTCCATACTTACTAGTATACCAGTAGATATAAAGCAGAACCTTTTTTGCAGTGATGAGTGACAGTTGAAAGACATTTTTCATAGAATAAGACTTAATTTCCTATTTACTAAGTTAAGGTGTTTATTTGATACAAATACAATATAGTGTGACAGGGTAATATAATAATATACTACTGAGTGAGAAAAGAACAGAATAGCTTGTTATATTGTGATCTTTTCGTGCCAAATGAAGGCCAGAGGACATTGTGGTATATCATATTTGCATTAGTTCAGTAAGAGAAAAACAAAGAAAGCATAAAGTCTTCACACAGCTCACAGTAGGCAAAATGAACTCCAAAAACATGAGCAAGGCAGGAGTGGCATAGTCACATTGAAAGCAGCAAAATACCATCTCTAGTGAAAACTTAATATTGTTAACTTGAATATTTTGGTACAGTAATATGATTTTGTGCTGTATAAATTTTTTTATGGTTGCACCGTAAAGGCTGTAAGCAATAAAAGTTTGTATCTAGGTTTATATTTGTATACTTTTAGGTGAGATAAAAAATACTTTGTTAGTCCTGAGGGTTCATATTAATACATTTGAAAAGCACTGATCGATATGATCTAGCAGAAAAAAAATGGAAATGATATTACTAATGGAAAACCAAAAGATATCCTTTTTTTTTTTGAAACAGGGTCTTGCTTTGTCGCCCAGGCTAGAGTGCAGTGGCTTAACCACATACTTGTCCCAAATCCTTTCTTAGGGGCCATTTCCACATTTCCCTAATTTCTTCCCTGCCTCTCAATTTTAAAAGTGTTTATTAATGTATTTTAGTAATAAAACAATGCAGAAATACTATTTTAAAAATATGTAAATACTGTAACTCTAGAATAACCAGAATTTGGGAGGATTTTTGAACTAGCAGTGGAAGTTTAGGAATAGAGTTTCACCAGGGAGTACGTTCCTGCTTTGCATGGTGAACTCAGACTGCCAAGCAATACCTGCTTCCTTGACCCTGGTCTTCTCAGCTATTCTCAGGTTAATGACTGCAAGCATGCATTTGGCCCCTCATCATATGCTAACTTCACAACAATACAGTGTTAACTTCTAGGTGAAATCATGAGTGGAAAAAGCAGCTAAAATCACAGAAAGAGCCTCTTATGAATAAGTGAAAAGTTGGCACCAATCAAGTAACAATGGAAGGTATCAGCCACTTTTTTTTTTTTTAAAGGGCAGATGGCTTCATTCTTTTTTATGGCTGTATGATATTCTATTGTACACATAATATGGCATTTCCTTTATCCATTCACCCGTTGATGGACACTTAGGTTGCTTCCATATCTTGACTGCTATTGTGAATAGTGCTGCAGTAAATATGGGAGTGCAGATATCTATTCAATGTCCCAACGTCCTTTTTTTTTTTTTTTTGGATGTATACCCAGGAGTGGGATATCTGGATCATATGGTAGTTCTATTTTTAGATTTTTGCGGCACCTCCATATTGTTCTACATAGTGACTCTACTAATTTACATTCCCACTAACAGTGGGTTCCCCTTTCTCCACATCCTTGCTGGCATTCGTTATTGCCTGTTTTTTGGATAAAAGCCATTTTAGCTGGAGTGAGAAGACATCTCATTATAATTTTGATTTGAATTTCTCTGATTAGTAATATTAGTCATTTGTCATCTTTTGAGAAATGTCTGTTCAGACCTTTTGTGCATTTTTAATCGAATTATTTGTTTTTTTTTCCTACTGAGTTGTTTAAGTTCCTTACATATTCTGGTTATTAATCCCATGTCAGATGGGTGGTTTGCAGATATTTTCTCCCATTCTGTGGGTTGTCTCTTCACTTTGTTGATTATTTCCTTTACTGTGCAGAAGGTTTTTAGCTTTATGTGATCCCATTTGTCCAGTAATCAGCCCTAAAAAAGAATAAAATCCTGTCATTTGCAAAACACGGATGGAACTGAAGGACATTATGCTAAGTGAAATAAGCTAGACAGAGAAAGACAAATATCACATGTTCTTACTCATGTGGAAACTAAAAAAAATTAGTGAACTCATGGAGATAGAGAGTAGAATGATGGTTGCCAGAGGCTGTGAGGTGGGGAAGGAGGGAGATAAAGTGGAAATGATTAATGAGTACAAAAATGCAATTAGAATGAATAAAATCTAGTATTTGGTAGCACAGTAGAGTATAGTGAACTGCAACTTATTGTATATTTTTAAATAACTAAAAGAATGGAATTGAAATGTCTAACACAAATAAATGATAAATGCTTGAGGTGATGGATATCCCAGTTACCCTGATTTGATCATTACACATTGTCTGCCTGTGTACATCATATGTACAACGTATACATATATATACAAGTTATCTATCCAGAATAATTAAAACTTTTTAAAAGCGGGAGGCGAATGGATTACTGTCTGTGGTCTCCTGCTTTCCTTCAGAGAACACATAATCAAAAAAGTGCAGATCTGGACTGTCATAGAGAAAGATAAGATTTTGTAAGCATATAAGGAGAATATGGAGAATAAATAAATGTAGCTAATAGTTGGAGGTTAATGTCTCTGTCTCAGTACTATCATAGAGAAAGACAAGACTTTGTCAGCAAAAATTCCTATGAAGAGAATATGGAGAATAAAGTAGCTAATAGTGGAGGTTAATGCCTCTGTCTTAGTTGGACTTCATAAATTAAAATTTTTGTATGTTGACAGTTTTCTACTAAACTATTGGTCATTCATATTTATGATAAAGGTATATTTGTGCCTTTTTAAAAATTGAACTTTATTTCTTTTTATGTCTTTTCAGAAAATTAATTTTTACTTAAAAAAATTTGTTTTTATTAACTTTTGAGCATCCCCAGTCATGGCCTAAATTGTGAAACCATTTCTTTTCCTCTTTTAAATCCTCTCTTAGCCCTTTAATGAAGTAATGCTTTTCAGGTTAGGAACCTTACCATAAAGTAGCAGAATCTGTTAATTTAATTACTTCTCCTTCCTTCTTCCACCTCCCCCTCACTCTAGTGCTGCTGAATTCTTACTACATGGTCTTCAGGGGTAACTGCAGAGTTCTGACTCTTTTGGGTATAACTTTAATGGGTCAGAGTAAGAGCATTAGGCAGACATTTAAGACCGCTATGTATATGTACAAGTATATACTTACTTGTAAGTATATATCTCAGAAGTGTATTTGACTTTGATGCTAAGATGGCTTGCTCATGCAACTCTTTGTCCTCACATATTTAAAAGTTGACCTTGTCCAGGCACAGTGGCCTGTAATTCCAGCACTTTGGGAGGCCAAGGCGGGCGGATCACGAGGTCAGGAGATCGAGACCATCCTTACTAACACAGTGAAACCCCACCTCTACTAAAATACAAAAAAATTAGCCAGGCGTGGTGGCGGGCACCTGTAGTCCCAGCTACTCGGGAGGCTGAGGCAGGAGAATGGTGTGAACCCAGGAGGCGGAGCTTGCAGTGAGCCCAGATCGCACCACTGCACTCCAGCCTGAGCAACAGAGCAAGACTCCATCTCAAATGAATAAATAAATAAATAAATAAATAAATAAATAAATAAATTAAAATAAAAGTTGACCTTGTTTGAAAGTGGCGGCAGGTAACAGAACATTTTATTCAATTTGAGTTTCCATTAGATAACATGCTTTTTGTAATGTATTAAGTTATAGTTTACATTCTCAAGATTTTCTGTTGTACTAGAGGTCTCAGCAGAATTCATAATCTTAATTTAAAACCCAAGGCCAGGCGTGGTGGCTCACACCTGTAATTCCAACACTTTGGGAGGCTGAGGCAGGTAGATCATTTGAGGCCAGGAGTTCAAGACCAGCCTGGCCATCATGGCAAACCCCATCTACTAAAAATATGAAAAATAGCAGGGCAGGGTGGCGCACGCCTATAATCCCAGCTACTCAGGAGACTGAGGCATGAGAATTGCTTGAACCCAGGAGGCAGAGGTTGCAGTGAGCCAAGATCACACCATTGCACTCCTGCCTGGGCGACAGAACGAGACTCTGTTTCAAAATAAATAAATCAGAATAAATAAATAAATCCCAACTCATTTCTACCAGTTTTATTATTTATTCCTTTGTTCATATACCTAATATGTCCTTTGTAATGCAACTTTAAACAGCCTTTTAAATACTATTCAATCCTACATTTAGTAATTCAAGTTTTACAGTAAAGGGAGAAGGATCATTATTGCTATTGTTTGCTTCTTAACACAAAAAAAACAAAAAATGTGCAGTTTGCATTTTAAAATTGCAAAGGGAATGCTCCATTTATGTTTTATGTTGAATGACAACTTTTCCCACTCTTAGCTTCAATTAGTTTAATAAATAAAACAGCATTGTTATATAGTCTCTTTACTTAACTGTAAATCTCATTAGCATGCTTTTCATATTTGTCAAGGCCCAGCATCTACTTGTTTTGTAAATTCATGCCATGGTCACTGTTAAAATTCACTAATCACAAATGGAAAAAACCTTCCTAGATATATATCTACCTATTTAATTTAAATTGAACACTTTTAATATATTTCCCATCATATAATTAGATACATTTTTCCTTGTATAACTAGTCACAAGATTGAAGTTCAGCATTAACTGTAATGATATTGAGAAACATTGTCATCAGCAGTTCAACAGAAAAATTTTGAGAGATACACGTATGTATACTCATGCACCCACAAAGAATGCTTTTCTGCCTAATGAGCTGTAAGGACACGTAAGAAAGTTCTTGAATAGTTCGGGCACAGTGGCTCACACCTGTAATCCCAGTACTTTGGGAGGCCGAGGTGGGCGGATCACGAGGTCAAGAGTTCGAGACTAGCCTGGCCAATATGGTGAAACCCCGTCTCTACTAAAAAAAATAGAAAAATTAACTGGGTATGGTGGCATGCGCCTGTAGTCCTAGCTACTCAGGAGGCTGAGGCAACAGAATCGCTTGAACCCAAGAGGCAGAGGTTGCACTGAGCCGAGATCACGCCACTGCACTCCAGCCTGGGTGACAGAGTGAGACTCCTCAGGGAAAAAAAAAAAAAAGAACTTGAATAAACAAGAATTATTCTTCCAAGAATCCAGTGTAGCTGTGTACCTTGTAACAAGTGCAGTCCACTTACTGTTACACTCAAAGAAGACAAGTCTGCACATCGATTGGTCCTTTCAAATTCTTCACCTCAGTTTCTTCTTGAGTACTTGGAGAAAGAATGATGCATTGATTTCTTTTTTACGTTCTTTTCTCCTTGTTTCGTTTCTGGAAATATTTAGTAATTAAATGTATTATATGTTAAAGTCTGTTGACTTACACTGAGCTATGTTAAGAAATTATTTCCAATGTGTTTGTACCAACAGGTTGGCGATAGTATTGTTCACAAAGCCAGAGAGACCTTGGAACGAGCTATTAAACTGGTGAATGATACCAAGAAATGGGGGGCTAGGGTTGTATATGGCGATACTGACAGGTAATGGGTTTTTGGTTTTGTGGTTGTCTTTTTGCATCTGTCCACATCTTCATTTCAGTGTTTAAAATGGCTTACGGGAATCCTTTCTAAAAATAGAGTTCTGAGTCCTTTCCAGTCCTTACGATCTCATGATCAGAGTTAACACAGATCCTGATTTACCAGATATGATCATAAGAGACAGTTTGTGTCCTGAGCCACAAACTGTGAAGATTCCTATGGCTTCCCTCCAAGTAGCTCTTAGCCAAGTAGATAGTGATCTGTAAACTAACTGTGTACGCAGGAGTCTAGTTTATTTAAAGAAACTACTTTTAATGTGAATAATTCCTCTAATATAGCTGCAACTCTCTGAATTTAAGTGTATATCTTAAAATAATTAAACTGTTTTTGAAGGACAATTGCCAGAACCGTGAGTGGTTAACTTACCACTCAGCCCCAGAATATGTTGACCTTCTAAGAGAAGTGCATATAGGCAAATGCAGTTTTCCATTTGACTCCAGAGGGTCCACAGACTTACTCAAGCCCATTATTTATGGATTGGCAAATAATGTGCCTGCATTTGAAGGCACATTATTAATAATGTAAGTTGTTAACACCAGCTTGCATGCTTCCTTGTTTGCTGTGATAATTTTCAGGTTTCACTTATTTATATAACATCTTTTTTGCATGGCTTATTGAAATTCTTCTAGAATGTAGGCACTATGCACATTTCTTACGGTGAAATTTTTTCCCTGTTGGGGACTTAGAGTCACAGTGTGAACATGCTAAGAGCACCTGCCTCAAGACCTCTGATCTCTTTACAGTCCAACAGAGCAATAGGAGATAATGCTTCTAATCATTAAATAGCTTATAAGTAATCTTTGAATAGCATTTAATCTTATCCAGTTCTTTAAAATGTTCATACAGACAGCATAATCATATTAATGCTGAATGAGACTTTGCCTCATAGAGCAGCTGTTTCATTACCAGCAGGTGGGGATAGTTTCAAATTATCCAGGCCCTAATTATCCATATTCTCTCCTGTTCCTCATAAAAAGCCACTTCTTAGTTTGGCTTTGGTTATTTTACTGTTCTGTGAAACTACTGCTGGGTATTCTAGCAAAATAAGAGTTAATAAAATAAGCTCTGCATTTGTTAGCAGAACTTAAAAAATATTTAGGGAAAAATGTTAATCCTTTAACTTATTGATTTTAATTCAGAGGCTATCCATGTTGTTGACAGCATTCAGAAGTCAGCGTGATTCTGATTGTAGTTACATTATTTACCCTTTAAGATCTATAAGAAGTCAAGCTACAAAAAATAACAGAATGTCAGAGCCGGAAGGGATTTTGATATTATTTAGGCCAGCAGTTTTCATACTATTGGGAGATCTTAGAATGTGCCTCAAATGATGCTTATTAAGAACAAATTTCCCTAAGATAAGAAATTTAAGATCTTGCAAGTAGTCAGTAAAGAGCCATGAATTGATATTCAGTGTTTTGATTCCTAACTGATGCTTTCTCTCTACATCAGATTTTATAGTTATTATATGATTCCAGTCAAAGGAAATTTACTTGCAATGTCATTAAAACTTTTGATCACCATTCACTACCTGATACATTCAACAAACATTGGCCAGGCATGCTGACTCATGCTTCAAATTCTGGCACTTTGGGAGGCCAAGGCAGGCGGATTGCTTGAGCCTAGAAGTTCAAGACCAGCTTGGGCAACAAAGTGCAACCCTGTCTCTACAAAAAATTTAAAAATCAGCCAGACATGGTGGTGTGCACCTGTACTCCTAGCTACTTGGGAGGCTGTGAGGTGGGAAGATCGCTTGAACCCGGGAGTTCAAGGCTGTAGTCAACCATGATCATGCCACTGCACTCCAGCCTGGGTGACAGAATGAGACCCTGTCTCAAAAACAAGAAACCCAAATGTTTAGTGACATCTGTATGAGGGCAGTTCACAACAGTGTCACCCTGGCAGAATACAAGTAAGTTCTTGAAGGGGGACAAAAAAAATGTACCATAGTTTTTGGCCCCACAGTGGGCCAACAGTATTTTACTCCTTAGTAATTACTTTCTCTTGTTAAATATAATTTCAATTTATTTATTTTTTTTGCCTTGGAAGGACAACGATGAAAGGTTGAGAAACACTGCTCTTGGGATAGTAGGTAATATTTGGTGGAGTGCAAAAGAGTTCCTGGCTGGGCGCAGTCGCTCACGCCTATAATGCCAGCACTTTGGTAGGCTAAGGCGGGCAGATCACCTGAGGTCAGGAGTTTGAGACCAGCCTGACCATATGGGGAAACCCCATCTCTACTAAAAATACAAAATTAGCTGGGTGTGGTGGTGCATGCCTATAATCCCAGTTACTCAGGAGGCTGAGGCAGGAGAATTGCTAGAACCCAGGAGGCAGAAGTTGCGGTGAGCCAAGATTGCACCGTTGCACTCCAGCCTGGGCAACAACAGTGAAACTGTGTCTCAAAAGAAAAAAAAAGGCCGGCGTGGTGGCTCACACCTGTAATCCCCGCACTTTGGGAGGCCGAGACAGGTGGATCACCTGAGGTCAGGAGTTCAAGATCAGCCTGGCCAACGTGATGAAACCCCCTCTCTACTAAAAATTTAAAAAATTTAGCTGAGTGTGGTGGCACATGCCTATAATCCTAGCTACTCAGGAGGCTGAGGCAGGAGAATCGTTTGAACGTGGGAAGTGGAGGTTGCAGTGAGCCAAAATCGCACCACTGCACTCCAGCCTGGGCAACAGAGCGAAACTCCATCTCAGAAAAAAAAAGAGTTCCCAACTGAGAGTGAGGAGACCTGGATTCTCTTTCTAATTATACTCCTAGATTGATGGCATAGCCATTAATAAGTCATTTTGCCTCTCTGAGGCTTAGTTGCCTCTTCATCAAAATGAAGGAAATCTGATAGATGAAGACAAATGACCTTCCAATTATGATGACATTCCAATTATACTTTTAGTTATTCTTAAATGTACAATAAATTATTGTTGACTGTAATCGCTCTGTTGCGCTATCAAATACTAGGTCTTATTCTAACTATATTTTTGTACCCATTAACCATCCGCACTTCCCCACACATACACAGTACCTTTCCCAGCCCCTGGCAACCTAGTAGAAAAAGGCCGGGGCGGTGGCTCACACCTGTAATCCCTGCACTTTGGGAGGCCGAGACAAGTTATCACCGGAGGAGTGATTGCTCTCTCCATTTTTTTGAGACGGAGTCTCGCTCTGCCCCCAGGCTGGAGTGCAGTAGCGCGATCTTGGCTCACTGCAAGCTCCACCTCCGGGGTTCATGCTGTTCTCCTAACTCAGCCTCCCAAGTAGCTGGGACTACAGGCGGCTGCCACCATGCCCGGCTAATTTTTTGTGTATTTAGTAGAGATGGGGTTTCACCGTGTTAGCCAGGATGGTCTCAATCTCCTGACCTCGTGATCCGCCCGCCTCAGCCTCCCAAAGTGCTGGGATTACAGGAGTAGAAACTCATTTTAAAACAGTGTTTCTTATTGTAGGCTAGTCACTTCCATTCTGTCACATGACAAAAAACTTCTGTTCATTCTGTCCAGTCTTCTTGAAGCTTAGCTCCAAATCAAACTGGCCAAAACAGCTTAGATGGATTCAAACAAACTCACATTACTGGGTAAAGTCTCAAATATAGACCCTATAGTAATAACTTTTTTTTTTTTAAGTCTCTGTTGCCCAAGCTGGAGCACAGTGGCACAATCTCGGCTCACTGCAACCTCCACCTCCTGGGTTCAAGTAATTCTCTTGCCTCATCCTCCCGAATAACTGGGACTACAGGCATGCGCCACCATACCCAGCTAATTTTTGTATTTTTAGTAGAGATGGGGTTTCACTGTGTTGGCCAGACTGGTCTTGAACTCCTGACCTCGTGATCCACCCACCTCGGCCTCCCAAAGTGCTGGGATTACAGGCATGAGCCACCGCACCTGGCCAATAATAACTTTTAAGATGTGAAGTATATATACCTTTATCATTTTTATGGAATTACAATTTTTAACATGTATAATATGTAATAAAATATAAAAATGTATAGGCCCAGATTACCAGCTACCATGCCAGTCAAGATATAGAACACTTTTTATCACCGTAAAAAGTTTTCTCATTCTCCCTTTACAGTGTATCCCTCACCCTCACTCCATGCCCTAGACAACCACTTACCTGATTTTTATTACCATAGCTTAGTTTTGCCTATTATAAAACTGTATAGAAATATGTGTATGTCCACTGATTTTAAATGTTGCATACGGCCGGGCACAGTGGCTCATGCCTGTAATCCCAGCACTTTGGGCAGATAACCAGAGGTCGGGAGTTCGAGACCAGCCTGACCAACAAGGAGAAACCCTGTCTCTACTAAAAATACAAAGTTAGCCGGGTGTGGTGGCGCATGCCTGTAATCCCACCTACTCGGGGAGTTGAGGCAGGAGAATCGCTTGAACTTGGGAGGCGGAGGTTGCAGTGAGCTGAGATCGCACTATTGCACTCCAGCCTAGGCAACAAGAGAAAAAAAAAATGTTGCACTCATCATTGCATCTGAACATTTTAAGAATAATAATCTTACATAAAAACAGTTTGGCAGTTGCACGTGAAGTTCAACATACCCTTAGCATATGACCCAGCAATTCCACTCCTTTATGCTTATCTTAGAAAAAAGAAAACCTGGCTGGGCGTGACGGCTCACACCTGTAATCCCAGCACTTTGAGAGGCCAAGACAGGTGGATCATGAGGTCAGGAGATCGAGACCATCCTGGCTAACACAGTGAAACCCTGTTTCTACTAAAAATACAAAAAATTAGCCTGGCGTGGTGGCGGGCCCCTGTAGTCCCAGCTACTCGGGAGGCTGAGGCAGGAGAATGGCGTGAACCTGGGAGGTGGAGCTTTCAGTGAGCCGAGATCGCGCCACTGCACTCCAGTCTGGGTGACAGAGCGAGACTCTGTCTCGAAAACGAAAAAGGAAAAGGAAAACCTATGTCCACATAAAAACTTGTGTACAGTTCTTCATTGGAGCTTTGTTTGTAATAGTCCAAAACTGCAAAATATCTAAATGTCTATCAGTGAGTGATTGGATAAGCAAATTGTGGTATATCCATACAGTGGAATACTACTCAACAATGGAAACAAACCAGTTGCTGTTATTTTGACACCATGGATGAATCTCAAAATATGCTGAGTGAAAGAAGACAGATATAAAAGAGTATATACTATATACTTTCATTTATATAAAATTTTTGTTTATTTACTTACAGGGTCTCACTATTGCCCAGGCCCATCTCAAACTCCTGGCCTCAAGCAGTCCTTCCACTTCAGCCTCCGGAGTTGCTGGGATTACAGGCAAAAGCTACTACACCCAGCCCATTTATATAAAATTCTTGGAAAAAACCTATCGTAACAGAAAGCAAGTCTTATGTATTGAACCTGGGGCCAGGAATAGACTGAAAAATGATTGCAAAGGAGTACAGGGAGGTCGAGGCTGCAGTAACCAATGATTATGCCACTGCACTTTAGCCTCAGTAATAGAATGAGACCCTGCCTCTTAAAAAAAAAAATTAAAATCAGATAGTATTGGTATAAATGAGTATCAGATGGCCTATAAAGAAACTACAAAAACCTTCAGATGGTTCAAAGTATAGCCTAGATTGAAGGTCTAATTAACTAAGGCATTTTTGTTCTACCTTAGTGAATGTTAAAATTAATTCAGATTGAGACAATATTTATTTTAAAGACTTAGTAGAGTTGAGTAAACTACTTTTTTCCTTTGTTTTAATTTTTCATATAGGCTCTCAGGCAAGTACTGTCTCCAATATTAGCAGGAACTTTTTCCAAAGAAACCATCCAAAATGGGACTTAAAAATCCAGTATAAAAACACTTCAGAAATATGAGATTGGTTTATATGGCTAGAAACAAGAATCTTAAAGTCATGTTTCAAGATATCATCCATTTCCACTATTTAATGTCTTTTCACTAGAAATATAAGTGAAGATGAACTTCATAGTCTGTCTTACTTAAATATTTATTAACCATTACTTCTGTTGGTGGTCAGGTTGTAGTATATACTGAAATAGAAAAGTAGATGCATTTTGTCAGTTATTTTTGAGTATATTTAGTATTGGTATTTTGAGTATATTTTGTATTGGTATTTCATATATAATTCAATATTACTCATTACCAAATAATATGATTCATTATAGCAAATGAAAAGATTTACAGATATACACGTGTTTGTAATGTCTTTTTTCTGTACGACATGATTACAGATGTTGATTTTCTTCCTTGCGTCTTTTTATGTTTTTTTAACTGTTTTTCAGTTAACATACATTACAGAATATATGTCTTTTGTTTTTTTGTTGTTTTTTTTGTTTTGTTTTGTTTTTTGAGACAGAGTCTCACTCTGTCACCCAGACTGGAGTGCAATGGTGCAATCTCGGCTCACTGAAGCCTCTACCTCCCAGGCTCAAGCAATTCTCCCACCTCAGCCTCCCAAGTAACTGGGACTACAGGAGCACACCACCACATCAGCTAACTTTTGTAATTTTTTTAGTAGAGATGGGATTTCGCCATGTTGGCCAGGTCTGGTCGCAAAATCCTGACCTCAGGTGATCCACCTGCCTCAGCCTCCCAAAGTGCTGGGATTATAGGTGTGAGCCACGGCGCCGGCCAATGTCTGTCTTTTTTTTTTTTCTTTTTCTTTTTTTTTTTTTTTTGAGACTGAGTCTTGCTCTGTCGCCCAGGCTAGAGTGCAGTGGTGCAATCTCGCTCACTGCAAGCTCCGCCTCCCAGGTTCATGTCATTCTCCTGCCTCAGCTCTGGAATAGCTGGGACTACAGGCACCCCGCCCCCATGCCTGGCTAATTTTTTTTTTCTTTTTTTTTTTTTTTTTTTTTTTGTAAAGACAGGTTTTCACTGTGTTAGCCAGGATGGTCTCGATCTCCTGACCTCGTGATCTGCCCGCCTCGGCCTCCCAACGTGCTGGGATAACAGGCGTGAGCCACCGCGCCCCGCCCAATGTCTGTCTTTTTTAAGTTGAGTGGTTCTGGCCTTAAGGAAACTTCTCCCATATCACAAGTACATCTTCTATTTTCTTATAATCACACAGTCTCTTATTTTGTGATGTACTTAACTGTGTACCACAGTGGTCCCCAACCTTTTTTTTTTTTTTTGAGATGGAGTCCCAGGCTGCAGTGCAGTAGTGTAATCTCAGTTCACTGCAACCTCTGCCTCCCAAACTCAAGCGATTCTCCTGCCTCAGCCTCCCAAATTCCTGGGATTATAGGCACATGCCACCATGCCTGGCTAATTTTTATATTTTAGTAGAGATGGAGTTTCACCATGTTGGTCAGGTTGGTCTCAAACTCCTGACCTCAGATGATCCACTGCCTTGGCCTCCCAAAGTGCTGGGATTACAGGCGTGAGCCCCTGTGCCGGGACCACAGTGGTCCCCAACCTTTTTAGCACCAGGGATCGATTTCATGGAAGACAATTTTTCCGCAGACCGGGTGGTTTGGGGATGAAACTATTCCACCTCAGATCATCAGGCATTAGATTCTCATAAGGTGCACACAACCTAGATCCTTCACTTGTGCGCAGTTCTTACAATAGGATTCATGCTCCTATGAGAATCTGATGCTGCCACTGATCTGTCTGATGTGCCACTGATCACAGACTGACTGGTATCAGTCTGCCGCCTCAGGGTTGGTGACCCCTTGTGTACCACACAAAGCCTTAAATGTCCAGGGATGACCCAGGACTTTCTTGACTGCTGGGATATCTGAGCTGCTCTGTGTGTAGCTAAGTTAGAAATATTGGATGTCTTAAAAGATTTGTAACAAGATATATCATGAGTACACATGGAAAGTAATAAAACAGGAAAGCTTACATAGGAAGCATCTTAAGAAAGAGTAAATAGGAGAAAGGGAGTTTTCTTTGGCATTAGACAGAGTCATAGCCAGGAGAGTTACTCTTGATAAAATTTTTGTTGTAATGACTTCCTCATTACCTTATTTTTAATCCCCTTAGTATGTTTGTGCTACTGAAAGGAGCCACTAAGGAGCAGTCTTTTAAGATTGGTCAGGAAATTGCCGAAGCTGTAACTGCTACCAATCCTAAACCAGTGAAATTGAAGTTTGAAAAGGTAAGAGGAATGTAATATTAGTAATCACATATAAAACTCATATGTCTTCTAGAGACCTCTGATTTGTTCAGTACATTTTCAGAATCACTGACAGTATATAGGTCTATTAAAGTGTTAAATTTGGGCCAGATGCAGTGGCTCATGTCTGTAATCCTGCTGTGGCCTTGGGAGGCCAAAGCAGGAGGGTTGCTTGAGACCAGGAGTTTGACACCAGCCTGGACAACATAGCCAGACCCCATCTCTACAAAAATTAAAAAGTTAACCAGGCATAGTGGCACACGCCTGTAGTCCCAGCTATTCCAGAGGCTGAAGTGGGAGGATCACTTGAGCCCAGGTGTTCAAGGTTACAGTGAACTGTGATTGACCAGGGCACTCCAGCCTGGGGAACAAAGTAAGACCCTGTCTCAAAAAAAAAAAAAAAAATTACATTTTAAGTATTTTCTCTTTTGTATAATTTTCCCAAAATTTGTTTAGTAATGTATATATGTAAGGAAATGAAAACTTTGTTCCAGTAACTATTATTGTGTAACAGATCACCCCAAACTTAATGGTGTAAAACAGCAAACATTTCATTCTGCTCACAGATTTTATGGCTCAGGAATTCAGACAGGGTGCGACTGGAATGGCTTTTCCCTGCTGCACAATATCTAGTTCCTCAGCTGAGAAGACTGTTAGGGGTTAGGGGTAACCCAACCAACAGCAAAAGGCTGAAACCATCTGAAGCTTGCTTACCAATCATGTCTGGTGATTGATGCTGGCTGCTAGTTGGGACATCAGCCAGAACACCTACCAGTGGCCTTTCACCGGGGCTGCTGGTTTTCCCTCACAACATGAGGGTTGGGTTCTAGGTGTGAACATCCCAAAGAGAAACAGACAAAAGCTGCTTTGTTTTTTATGACCCAGGCTCAAAGTCACAGTGTCACACACCTCTCTAGATTTAAAGGGAGTGAACATAGACCCCACTATTAATAGGAAGAATGTCGAAGTCACAATGGAACAAGACCACATAGGATGGAAGATACATTCTTTCTTTGCAAAACAAAGTTTACCACAAGGACTTTCAACTCTTTTTCACTTACCTTTAGATATCAAATATGTATTTATTTCTTTCTGTATAAAAGATACTTAGCCTAGGAACTGTGTGGAATACAAAGAAACGTAAGACACAGTCCTGCCCTCTAAGAGCCAGAAATCTAAAAGGAAAGGTTAATTTATATAAGCATTCTCTTTTGTTACAAACATAACAGAAAGCAAGATGAGAATAGTCTGCTTAAACACTGTGAGAGCACAAAGGAAAGGAGGAATTGTGTCCTCCTGGGCTGGATAGAGAGACTCCATATAGGAAGTAACGATGAAATGTGTCTTGAAAAATGGTTATGTCTTGAAAAATGCTTAGAATTTCAGTAGGCAGACGTGGGGCTGCAATCATTCTGAACAGAAGAAAATGGCATGTATTGAATTGGAAAAGCACAGTATGGAAATACAGGGTAGCAGGAGATAGATCTGGAAAAATAAAGTTGAGACCAGACTATAGACTGTCTTGAATACCAAGGTGAAGTGTTTATACTTTATTTAGTAAATAAACAAAACTGGTAGTGCAAAAGAACAAAATTGGTAGTGCAAGAAAAGGAGTGAGCAAGTGGTAACTTAAAGACAATTCATTTTGCTCCCACGTCTTATATCATGAATTTGTTGGACCCTAAGTCATATTTAGAATTTTTTTAATAATGGATATTTGATTAAAGAAAGCACAGAGACATAAAAATAAAATATTCTTGGTGGAGGAAAAATGGTTAAGAGGCATTTTATTAATTTTACCACAGGTATATTTGCCCTGTGTTTTACAAACAAAAAAGAGGTATGTGGGTTACATGTATGAAACACTGGATCAGAAGGACCCGGTATTTGATGCAAAAGGAATAGAAACAGTCAGAAGAGATTCCTGCCCTGCTGTTTCTAAGGTAAGGTTTATCTATCTTGTCATCATCTGTGAGAAAGAAGTGGCTAAAGTATCTGGTGAAAATATAGCCTGTATAATTATATATAACTATAGAAGAAACTACATTAATTTTGAGAATTTTATTTGTTGTGTTTTGTTTTGTTTTTGTTTGTTTGAGACAGGGTCTCACTTTGTCACCCAGGCTGGAGTTCAGTAGTCCAATCCTGGCTCCCTGCAGCCTTGACCTCCTGGGTTCCAGCAATCTTTCTGCCTCAGCCTCATGAGTAGATAGAATTTTATTTCTAATAATTTATTTGATTTTAGTCCTTAAGTTTCTGACTTTCCCCCATACCTTACGTTTTATCAAAATTACTAAAAAGCAATACATGAGACTTTCCTGCCTATTGCCTGGAGATCATATATGTCATATTGTAACAACTCCCAAAAGCAGAACAGGATAAACAAGAGAAACAGACCCGGTGTGGTGGCTCACACCTGTAATCCCAGCACTTTGGGAGGCCAAGGCAGGCAGATCACTTGAGGTCAGGAGTTCGAGACCAGCCTGGCAAACATAGTGAAACCCCATCTGTACTAAAAATACAAAAATTACCCAGGTGTGGTGGCGCACGCCTGTAATCCCAGCTACTCGGGAGGCCGAGGCGTGAGAATTACTTGAACTTGGGAGGCAGAGGCTGCAGAGAGCCAAGATCATAACACTGCACTCCAGCCTGGGCAACAGAGTGAGACTCCGTCAAAATAAAAAAAAAGAGAAACAGAGAGATTGCATAAGTAACATAATCCATTCCAGATTAACTGAACTTTCACTTATTTGGATTATCAAATGCAAATTAGGAAGATTTCCAAACAATTAGCTATAAATTACTCAAATTTCTCAACCATAATAACCATGGTATTTTGGCTTTTTCTTTACTTGGGCCTAAACTCCTTCTATAGCAAAACAAAAATAAATGGTATAAATGGGAATAGCACTCTATATACTGTTTTGTGAGAGCATTAAAAGCATAATGGATTGAATATTATCAATGTATTATGTCATATATATAATATGTGAATTTGGGATTTTTTTCAGCACTATTTCTGGAAGAGATATAATCCAGTACCTTCTTTCTCTGTAGGCAGACTTGTACCCAAGCTAAATTAACAAGATTATTGTATAAATGTCCATTGGTTCTAGTATTCAGAATAAGACACAGAGCTTTCACCTAGAACTAACTTAAATTTAATCTACTTGGCCAGGCACGGTGGCTCACGCCTATAATCCCAGCACTTTGGGAGGCCGAGGCGGGCGGATCACGAGGTCAGGAGATCGAGACCATCCTGGCTAACACGGTGAAACCCCATCTCTACTAAAACAAAAAAGTAGCTGGGCGTGGTGGCATGCGCCTGTAGTCCCAGCTACTCGGGAGACTGAGGCAGGAGAATTGCTTGAACCCGAGAGGCAGAGGTTGCAGTGAGCCGAGATCATGCCATTGCACTTCAGCCTGAGCGACAAAGCAAGACTCCATCTCGGGGGGAAAAAAAAAATTAATCTACTTACATAAATCCACTGCATGTTGGTTATTTCCTAGTAGAAATTTCCAACACAGAAAAATCTGTCACAGTTATTTATCAACACCATAAAAAGTCAAAAAGGCTGATTTGGATTTGACTGCCTGGTAATCTTTAAACTTCTCTGTGCTGCCTGTGACTGAATCAGGACCCTTTCTATACTGGTAAATAAAAAAACAATACGTGAGCTCGTGTCTGATTTCTTGTACCTAGAGTGCTTTGACTATTAAAAAAAAAATTGCGTGTTTTATGTTGCTTATCACATAGCAAATGTTAATTTGCATGTCATTCTACATGATTTTCCTCAAACTACATGATATTCTATTTTTAGAAATAGCAAGCTCTATAAAGTCTCAAATAACTTTCAATTTTTAATAATTTTTATTATCCCATCATTGTAAGTAACAGATTATTTAGGTAGGCTAGCAAGTTACCCAGTAGTTACATAATTGAAAGTATAATAACAATGGTGAAACATACTAGGAGATATTTTATCTTTACTTGCATATCTGTTTTGTTTTAAGATACTTGAGCGTTCTCTAAAGCTGCTATTTGAAACGAGAGATATAAGTCTAATTAAACAGTATGTTCAGCGACAATGTATGAAGCTTCTGGAAGGAAAGGCCAGCATACAAGACTTTATCTTTGCCAAGGAATACAGAGGAAGTTTTTCTTATAAACCAGGAGCTTGTGTGCCAGCCCTTGAACTTACAAGGTAATGATACCCTCAGTACCTTGCCAGGATAGTCCTGGGATTCTGCACAGGTCTAGAGTACAATTGTTTCTTTACCTGCGCACATGAAGCCTCACTGAAGGTTAGTGAATACTCCCTCATACTTTGTAAGGTGTGAAGAGGAAATCCTCTTTTGGGCTTTCCTTCAGAAACTTATACAAAGAAATTGTGACACAGTGCTTGATTCATTTGTTTTTCCCACATCAAAATGATTAGGTAGTCCTTAATATTGTTCTACCGAAGCATTTAGATGGTATCATATTGGAATCAGATTGTTTAACTGGATAAATTTTCTCTTATCTTTCATGGTAGATTTATGATAGGTAGTTCTCATTCTTAGGGGATAAAAGACATCTTTTTCCCGCCCCGGGAGGCAGAGTCTCACTCCGTCGCCTAGGCTGGAAAGAAGTGGTGCAATCACAGCTCATTGCAGCCTTGACCTCCCAGGCTCAAGCGATCCTTCCACGTTGGCCGCCCAAGTAGCTGGGATAACAGGTGTGCACCATTATGATGGCTAATTTTTTTGTGGAGATGGGGGTCTCACTGTGTTGCCCAAGCTGGTCTCAAACTCCTGGGCTCAGGCGATCCTTGGCCTCCCAAAATGCTAGGATTACAGGCACGAGCCACCACTCCCACCTAAAGTACATCTTAAGCTAGTTGATATCTGCCAACTCATTATTTTCCAGGTAACAATGATTTATGGAGTAATTTTTAAACTCCTGTAGCATATCTATACTTGGTGTCAACTAAGCAAAATGTATATTATTCTCAAATAGTAATTATGTTTTGAAAGTGTCTTTTGTAGCTTTTTCATTGTTTTATTGTTGTTTAACTCTGACTTAATTTGCGAGAAAGATGGCTTCCGTGACAGTATTTGGGTGTGGTGTTGTTTTTTTTTTGAATTTGAATAGGAAAATGCTGACTTATGACCGGCGCTCTGAGCCTCAAGTTGGTGAGCGAGTGCCATACGTCATCATTTATGGGACCCCCGGAGTACCACTTATCCAGCTTGTAAGGCGCCCAGTGGAAGTCCTGCAGGACCCAACTCTGAGACTGAATGCCACTTACTATATTACCAAGCAAATCCTTCCACCCTTAGCAAGAATCTTCTCACTTATTGGTATTGATGTCTTCAGCTGGTATCATGAATTACCAAGGGTAAGCTTACCAAATAGTACATGTACTCTAACTATGGAGAGATTTCACTCCAAATTTTCAGTAGAACTAAAGATTTTTTGTGCTATTGATATGGGAGTGCTGGGAAGGGAACAGTGTGGTCCCGTTAAATGATACGGAAAGGGAGAAGGGAAGTACTGGGTAGAGAAAGGTGGGTCCCTGGCTAGCGCTCCACCCCCACGGACCTAGGTGAGGATAGGTGCTCCTGCTTTCATGCCCAAATGTTGCATTTTCCAAGACCACCTTGGCCCGCCACGCCCCAATCCTGGGCCAATAAAAACCCAAGACCCTAGTAGGCAGACACACAAGCGGCTGGACGTCATGAGGAACACTTCGGTGGAAGACCCAAGCGGCTGGTTGTCAAGAGGAGCATGCCAGCAGAACAGCACACCAAGAGGCACTGGCATGCTGGCAGGCCATTGACTGGCAGAACGAGGTGGAGTTTGGCCAGGACAGTCGGAGAAGAGACGGAGTCACCTAGCAGCCCATCCCCAGGGGAAAACCATCTCCCTTCTGATTCCACCATCAGATGAGAGCTACTTCCACTCAATAAAACATTGCACTCAGTCTCCAAGCCCACGGGTGATTGGATTCTTCTGGTACACCAAGGCAAGAACCCGGGATACAGAAAGCCCTCCATCCTTGAGACAAGCTAGAAGGTGTAATTGAGCTGGTTAACACAAGCCACCTATAGACGGCAAACTAAAAGAGTACCCTGTAACACACACCCACTGGGGCTTCAGCTGTAAACATTCACCCCTAGACACTGCCGTGGGGCCAGAGCCCCACAACCTGCCTGTCTGTATGCTCCCCTAGAGGTTTGAGCAGCAGGGCACTAAAGAAGCAAGCCATTCCCCGTCGCACACCCTGCGAGGGGAACAAGGGAACCTTTCCTATTTCACTATGAGAGCAAAGCAGATCCTCTATCCTAAACTGGCAAAGATGCCACGCTCTTCTGGTTTCCTAAAAGAGAAACTTTTAAGTATTCTACAAACACATTCCTAGCTTCTGTCAAGTTGTCCAAATTATAGAAATATTAAAATAAATCCCACAATTTCAATGGTGAACAGCCACAAAATAACGTAGAATAAACGAGTTAATGGAAAATAAATGGACAGCAAAAATTCCTTCGAAATGAATGTCTAAGAAAGGTGTAGGATTTAGTATCTAGACACAGTCCTGAAGAAACCAGAATTACTGCAATGGTAAAATAGCATTATAGTTGTTCTCCAACTTATGATGGTTCAACTTCAGATTTTCCTACTTTATGATGGTGCAAAAATCATATGCATTCAGTAGAAACCATAGTTCAAGTACCCATACAACCATTCTGTTTTTCATTTTCAGTACAGTATTCAATAAATTCCATGAGATATTCAACACTTTATTATAAAATAGGCTTTGTGTTAGATGATCTTGCCCACCTGTATGTTACTGTAAGTGTTCTAAGCACATATCCTGGCTCTAATGCAGGAAATTCATATTCTTTATTACTAATGTTCATTTCATCACCAGCAAGAATGTTAACCCAATGACATTTGTAAGAGGCTAACCTAATAACTTCCTTACAAAGTGATTTATTGCGGCACTATTCACACTGGCAAAGACTTGGAATCAACCCAAATGTCCATCAATGATAGACTGGATTAAGAAAATGTGGCACATATACACCATGGAATACTATGCAGCCGTAAAAAAGGATGAGTTCATGTCCTTTGCAGGGACATGGTTGAAGCTGGAAACTATCATTCAGCAAACTATCACAAGGACAGAAAACTAAACACCGCCTATTCTCACTGATAGGTGGGAACTGAACAATGAGAACACTTGGACACAGGGCGGGGAACATCACACACCAGGGCCTGTCAGGGGGTGGGAGACTAGGGGAGGGATAGCATTAGGAGAAATACCTAATGTAAATGATGAGTTGATGGGTGCAGCAAACCAGCATGGCACATGTATACCTATGTAACCTGCATGTTATGCACATGTACCCTAGAACTTAAATTATAGTAATTTAAAAAAAATGTATCTGATAGTAAGATGTAAGTTCCATGAAAGCAAGGACTTCATTCATTTCTGTAGCTCCAGTGTCTGGAACAGTGCCTGGCACATAGTAGCTACTCAGCATTTGTTGAATGAGTGAGTGAATGAATGAATGAATGAATGAATGAATGAATGAAATAATGCCTGAGTAAACCTGTAATTAGCATGAAAATAGCAGCTCTTCTGTGAAGCTGACTCAGACTTACTTCTGAATGGATGTTTTTATAGATCCATAAAGCTACCAACTCCTCGCGAAGTGAACCTGAAGGGCGGAAAGGCACTATTTCACAATATTTTACTACCTTACACTGTCCTGTGTGTGATGACCTAACTCAGCATGGCATCTGTAGTAAATGTCGGAGCCAACCTCAGCATGTTGCAGTCATCCTCAACCAAGAAATCCGGGAGTTGGAACGTAAACAGGAGCAACTTGTAAAGGTACAGTTTTGTTCCATAGGCCTGGAATCACAAGTAGTCTGATCTTACAGGAAGATATAGTCAACTCTTGAATTACAGTATGAGATATGAAACTGGTATGAAAAGTGAAATGAAGAGTCTAAATGATAAACTTCGTAAAAATCTCAAAAATGGAATTAAACTATTAATAATGGTTTAATTTGTTTTATAACCTTTTTTTTCGATGGAATAGTGTGTTGTGTTTCTTAATAGCTACAACAAGAATGGCCATCCTTCCAATTTCTTTTATAATACAGGTTGAGCATCCCTAATTGAAAAAAATCAAAATTCAGAATGCTCCAAAATCTGAAAGTTTTTGAGCACCAACGTGACTCCCAAAGGGAATGCTCATCAGAGCATTTCAGAGTTCAGATTTTCAGATTAATGATACTCAACCAGTAAGTATAATGAATGCACTTATTCCAAAACCTGAAAAAATTTGAAATCTGAAACACTTCTGGTCTTAAGCATTTCAAATAAGGGATACTCAATCTACAGTATTAAAAAGAAGGAAAACTCTCAGTTGCTCTATTAGTGCTTACCATTCTTTAAAGGAAAATACCTAGTTGTCTTAGAGAATTGCTTGCTAGTAAACTTGGAAGGTTTACAATTCTGTGAGTCCAGACAGATGATTAATGACATGATTGAGTCATACTGTGTGCCAGAGACTGTTCTAGGCACCCTTACAGGTGAGTAAACTGACACAAAGAGTTTAAGTGATTTGCATGTTATAGTGCTGGTAAGTGGCTGAGGTGGGATATAGACATAAAATGCAAGGATAATTTTTAAAGTGTGGGAATTCTAGCAGAAATAAACAACAAACATCTTGAAGTAAGTTGAATTAAATCTAAAGAAAAATTGACCACCTCACACCCCCCAATAAAATCATTACTCGTTATTATGGTTGATAAGTCATCTCCTTTCTGTCCCTACCTGCTATCCCTCTGTCACTATTTCTTGCTCTTCTCTGTGTCACACTCTGTCTGCCTCCACCCATACCATACTGAACTTCTCTTAGGTCTGTGAATGCTCCTCGCTGCCTCCTCCTGGCCTTTAAACACCCTGCTCCTTCTGCCAGGAACACTTCACCCATCCCACCCCACCCTTCCTCATCTGAGGAATCAGCTGAAACCCCTAGACTGGGTGAAGCCTTCCTTGCAGCAGACTCCTGCCATAATCTTCTCTGCTGTACTGTGATTTGGGGTTCGTCTGTCTTTCTCACTAAATAGCAAATGAACCAGTGACACATTTCCTGTTCTTTCACTGTCAAGTCAGTATATAGCCTAGCATAGCATAAGTCCATGCCTAGCATATAGCCAAGTCCATGGGGCTGGTCTGTAAATATTTACTGAATGAATGAACAAGTTCCTACTTAATGCATGATTAAAGAAGGAGTATATCACTGGAGTTATTACCAACCAACTTTCAGCCATTTTGTACCAGTTTTGTGGTTCTAGTTAGTACAACCACTGAAGTCACTGGGTGCTCCCAGCTTCTATTTATTTTATAGACTTCAGTCCTGATGGCAGCAGCCAACTCTCATAGAAAATTCCCTTGTTGGATCCTAGTATGAGGCCTAGGTGAGAGCAGGACCTCCAGAGCTCTGCTAAAGTCAGTCTGTTAAATGGTCCTTTCCTAGACTTTCTTATGTTGTTTCTGCACTCAGTGACAAACACATCACTACTTGGTGCCATCAATTTACCCAGAGCCCATCCTCCTTCAACATTAGGTGTTCATTCTTTTTTCTTTGTATTTATTTATTTTTATTTTATTTTATTTTTTGAGGCAGAGTCTCACTTTGTCACCCAGACTGAAGTGCAATGGCATGATCACAGCTCACTGCAACCTCAACCTCCTGGGCTCACGTGATCCTCCCAGCTCAGCCTCCCAAGTAGCTGGGACTACAGGCATATCCCACCATGTTTGACTAATTTTTTAATTTTTTTTTTTTTAGACATGGGGTCTCACGATGATGCCCAGGCTGGTCTCAAACTCTTGGACTCAAGCAGTCCTCCTGCTTCAGCCGCCCAAGGGCTGGGATTACAGGCTTGAACCACCATGCCCGGCCATCTTATTTCTTATAAAAATACAGTTTAAAAGACAGTGATGGCACAGCCATAAAAAAAAAAAGAACAAAATCAGCCAGGCATAGTGGTGGCTCATGCCTATAAATCCCAGCACTTTGGGAGGCCAAGGCAGGCGGATCATTTGAGGTCAGGAGTTCGAGACCAGCCTGACAGATATGGAGAAACCCCATCTCTACTAAAAAGACAAAATTAGCCAGGCATGGTGGCACATGTCTGTAATCCCAGCTACTCAGGAGGCTGAGGCAGGAGAATCACTTGAACCCGGGAGGCAGAGGTTGCAGTGAGCTGAGATCGCAGCATTGCATTCCAGCCTGGGCAACAGGAACAAAACTCTGTCTCAAAAAAAAAAAAAAAAAAAAAAATCATGTCCTTTGCAGCAACGTGAATGGTGCTGGGAGCCATTCTAAGCAAATTAACTCAGAAACAGAAAACCAAATACCGCATGTTCTCACATATAAGTTCCCACCTATAATAAACATTGGGTACTCATGGACATAAAAATGGGAACGATAAACACTAGGGATTCCAAAAGAGGGGTGGGGAGAGGAAAAGTTGAAAAACCACTTGTCAGGTACTACATTTACCGCATGGGCAACAGGATCATTAGAAGCTCAAGCCTCAGCATCATACAGTATACCCATGTAACAAACCTACATGTGTACCCTAGGATCTATAAATAAAATTTTAAAAAAGCGATACTATTTATAAATAATGATGGTTGTCATCTTTCAAGAGCTATTTTAATTTGAGGTGTTTTTCAAGAATGTTCAAATGAATGTCTCCCATGCACTAATTTGTAGAAATTTTTAATGATGCAGAAATTACTAGAGATGTAGTGAGAATTAGAAACACATCCAAACAGGAGATTTTACATCATTCTCAATCCAAGACCAATCAAGTGGTCAGAAATGTGAAGTTATGGAAATTCTAAACATTGTAAGTCAGACTTTGTGATTATATATCAAACTCTGTAACCCAGTACCAAAAAATATACTTCTTAAGTATTTCTAGAATGTTTTTAAAAAGGCCATATCTGGCCAGGCGCGGTGGCTCTTGCCTGTAATCCCCACACTTTAGGAGGCCAAGGCAGGTAGATCACCTGAGGTCAGAGTTTGAGGCATTTGAAATGGAGAAATTTCATGGAGAAACCATGAAATTTCTACTAAAACCCCAAAATTTCTACTGGAAACCCCAACTCTACTAAAAAATACAAAAATTAGCCAGGCATGGTGGCACGAGCCTTGTACTCCCAACTACTCAGGAGGCTGAGGCAGGAAAATCACTTGAACCCGGGAGGCGGAGGCTGCAGCCAGCCAAGATCACACCACCGAGCTCCAGCCTGGGTGACAGAGCGAGACTCCATCTCAAAAAAAAAAAAAGTCATAGTCTAAAGAAACCCTCGGCAGGGCAATCGTGGCTCACGCCTATAATCCCAGCACTTTGGGAGGCCGAGGCAGGAGGGTCACTTGAGGTCAGGAGTTCGAGACCAGCGTGGCCAACATGGCAAAACCCCATCTCTACTAAAAATACAAAAATTAACAGGGCATGGTGGCAGGCACCTATCATCCCAGCTACTTGGGAGGCTGAGGTAGGAGAATCACTTGAGCCAGGGAGGCAGAGGTTACAGTGAGCCAAGATTGTGCCACTGCACCTCAGCCTGGGCAACAGAGTGAGACTCTATTTCAAAAATAATAAAATTAAAATAATAAAAATTAACAATTAGCCAGGCATGGTGGCAGGCACCTGCAATCTCAGCTACTACTTAGGAGGCTGAGGCAGGAGAATCACTTGAACCTGGGAAGCAGAGGTTGCAGTGATCTGAGATCGTGCCACTGCACTACAGCCTGGGCAACAGAGTGAGACTCCATCTCAAAAAAAAATAAAAAAGAAAAAAAAAAGGAAAGAAAAGCCTCAATACACTTCAAAAAGTAGAAATATTACAAATGAATGTAATACAATACAATGCTATAAAAACGGTAATTACAAACTAACAAAACAAAGTGATCCTTCCACTTGCACATTCTGTTAAACAAAATGAAAACACTGCAAATCAGATTCTAGATGGCAGATCGCAGAGAAAAATTCATCACCTAAACACTTAATCATAAACATGAAAGAATGAAAGCAAATGAAGTAAGCATCTGACTGAAAAAAATTTTTTGAGACAAAGTCTCACTCTGTTGCCCAGACTGGAGTGCAGTGGTGCGATCTCGGTTCACTGCAACCTCTGCCTCCCAAGTTCAAGAGATTCTCCTGCCTCAGCCTCCTGAGTAGCTGGGATTACAGGCGTGCACCACCACGCCCAGCTAATTTTTGTATTTTTAGTGGAGACGATTTCACAGTGTTGGCCAGGCTGGTCCCAAACTCCTGACCTCAGGTGATCCACTTGCTTCCGCCTCCCAAAGTGCTAGGATTACAGTCATGAGCCACTGTGCCCAGCCTTAACTGAATTTTGTTTAAATAAGAAAGCCAAAGGATAGTAAAAAGGATAAAGATTAAAGCAGGTATTTTTTTAAGTGCCTGCCTCCCTATGATCTACAAAGTAGATGTCCAGGTTGGGGCATTTAAGGTTTTAAATGTAAGCCTGAATCAAGCTATAATGCTCAGGGTTTAAACCACCAGTAAAGGATCTTGAAACTAAACACTGAGTTAAATTTAGTGCGTCAAGTAATTCCATCCTGGCTTATTTATCAGACAAGCACAGAAAGAGCTTAAATATTTATCAGTTTGTCCTGGCACCTGAATGTAACTGCAATTCATAGAGCTGTAATACAGAAATTCTATATTTGGGAATAGATTTGAGTCTCTTGGCAGAGATCTAATTAGCAAAGGCTTCATCATAGAACAGCATACTCGGTCTTCATGGAGCATACTGAAGCACATGTTTCTAAGCAGTCTGCTTGTGACAATATCATAATATTGGATACAGTAACCAGTCTCCTTAGAAAAAATGTGCCCTTCGGTTGACTGGAAGATAACTGGGGCAAAGAACAAAAATTCATTGGCCTGTGAGCCATCCCTGAAACTGAAACCCTTTGATAAATATAGATCAAAGAATTCACTAGAGCGTATTTGATTTCTCTTAAAAGGCAATCCAGAGTAGTTGCTGCCATTTGGTATTGCTTTTTAAAATCACTTGTCTACACTATTCAGGGGGAAAGTCGGCCTGCGTTTTCTTAACCTTTGGAGTCCTCACTGGCATTCTTTTTAATTTTTTTTTTTATTATACTTTAAGTTCGTAGGGTACAGGTCATCTCAAGTTGGCAGGTTTGTACACATGCTATATCTGTGTACCCATGTGTCGGTGTGCTGCACCCATCAACTTGTCAGCACCCACATCAACTTGTGTTTCACATCAAGTATAACTCCCAATGCAATCCCTCCCCCCTCCCCCCCCATAGATAACGGCGGCCGGGCTGTGTGATGCATTCCGGCCGCTTCCTTGAGTCCAAAGATGAATCTCATGTTCATTCCCCAGCCTGAGTGACCGGTGCGCACGAACCGCACACGGGTGCGCGTGCGTTTGAGGGCCCCGCCGGTGCGCGTCTGCGCTCGTTCGGTTGCGCAACGCGGGTTTGCGCTCGAGACGCACCGGATGGTTTCTCCCAGCGCGTGGCCCCGGAGCGTCTACCTGGGCCCGGCCTACAAAGGACACACAACTGGCATCCTTGTTTTTATGGCTGCGTAGTATTCTCATGGATGAGATAGGCCACAACTCCCTGCTGGTGAAAAAAACCCGCGAAGAGGGACGAGCGCGCGCGCGCCCGCGCCGGGGGTCGCACGCGAAGTCGTACGCAACACTGAGCTAAAACCAAGCAAACAGTTGCAAGTTGGAACGCGGCTGTGTGTGTGCGTCCGCAAGTCCTAAAAACAAAACTATCCAAACTAATTCCGCGCGCGGGGGTGAAATAGGCGGACGCCGCCGCGCGCGCCGGAGCCAATGCAAAGAGAAAGTAACGTGCGGGCGCATCGCCGGTACCGGAAAGGCCCGACACTCGCGCCGACGCGCGCGGCACCGCGCGTGCGGCGACTGCAGCCACGAAAACCCGCCCCGGAAATAATAGGACGCGCGATGCGACGCCGCGATGCCGGTGACCGGACAGCCCGAAGAAACACATGGAAACAACTCGCGGCAGTCGCGGGTTGGAAAAGCAGGTGATGAGTGAACAGATTAATCACACATCAGTCAACAATGGGTCGACAGGATGGCGGGTCATATGGTTACTTCTAGTCTCTAGAATCTTGCAGGAAGGTCGTCCATAGTCCTTGTCTTCGTCGCCATTAATGGTTTGAAACTGACGGGTTTACGCAGTGCCACCGAACAGTGGTACAAAGCTGTCTTCCCAGTCCGCACAACCCGTCTGCCGCAACCGGTTGTGGCCAACGTTTTTAGGATGCATGCACATTCTTTAACTTGAATCGTATCTCCATTGGTGGTTAGGGCAGCTGCGGCCGGCCCGCCACCGGCCCGAGCGCAGTGATGACAACCCACGTCGTTGGCACCAGAGCAAAACCGTCTTATCCTTGCCGCGATTGTTGATGGGTTGTTTGTTTTCTTTCGAAACGAGTTCTTTGTAGGTTCTGGATATGTACCCTGCAGTAAAGTAGATTGCAAAAATTTTATAGCTCAGACAGTGTCTGAAGTGCACTGTTCACTCTGTGGTAGTTTCTTTGCTGATGCAGGAGCTCGGTTTAGTTTAATTAGATCCCATTCATCAATTGCTTTTGTCCCGGTTGCTTTGTGGTGTTTTTAGACCATGGAAAGTGCCTTTGCGCCCAGCCTGACTGTCTCCTGGACGTACGACCTAGGTTTGGTGCACCGAGCTTGGTCTGATGGTATGGTAGCTTAACATTTAATCTCTCAAAGGGCGGACTGTTATCTGACCACCGAGCCCAAGAAATACGAACAGACGTACCATCAAGAGAATGACTATAAGACACCGTCTACGCGCAAACTAAACTTCAGAAAATCTAGAAGAAATGGATGAATTTTCCTGGCACACTTACGCACTCTCCCAAGACTGAGAACCAGGAAGAAGTTGAACCCTGAATAGACGCGCAATAGCAGGCTCTGAAATTTCGAGGCAATAATTAATAGCCTACCAACCAAGAAAAGTCAGACCAGATGGATTCACAGCCTGAATTCCGTACCAGAGAGTACAAGGAGGAAGCTAGTACTATTCCCTTCCTGAAACTATTCAATCCAATAGAAAAAGAGGGAATCCTCCCTAACTCATTTTATTGAGGCCAACCATCACTCGCGGTGACGAAAAGCCTGGAGAGGGACGACACAACAACAATAAAAGAGAATTTATAGACCAATGATCCGCGCTGGCATGGACAGCATGCGATGCGCAAAAGATCCGTCAATAAAATACTGGCAAACCAAATCGCCAGCAGCAGCAGGCAACAAAGCGTTTTATCCCACGCATGGATCAAAGTGGCGGCCCATCCCGTGGGAGGCGCCGGAGGCGTGAGTCAGACATACGTGCAAATCACATAAACAGAGATCCAGCATAAAAGCAGACACCATAGACCCAAAAACCACCATGATTTCTCAATAGATGCCGAAAGGCCTTTGACAAAATTCAACTAGCCTTCATGCTTAAAAACTCTCAATAAATTCTGGTATTGATGGAACTGTATTCCTCCACAAATAACGTAACGAGCTCATTTTATGACAAACCACACAGGCCATATCCATACGCTGACATGGCAAAAACTGGAAGCATTTCGGCTTTGAAAACTGGCACGAGACCAGGGATGCCCTCCTCCTCAGCCACTCCTATGTCAACATAGTGTTGGGAAGTTCTGAGCTTAGGGACAATCAGGCAAAGAAGAAAGAAATCAAGGGTATTCAGTGTAGGAAAAGAAGAACTCAAAAGTTGTCCCTGTTTGCAGTATGACATGATTGTTATGATTTAGAAAACCCCATGAGTCTCAGCGCCAAAATCTCCTCTAAGCTGGATAAGCACTTCAGCAAAGTCCAGGATAACAAAAATCTAAGTGCAAAAATCACCAAGCATTCTATTACACACCAGTACAGAGAGCTAAATCATGACATAGAACTTTCCATTCACAATTGCTTCAAAGAGAATTAAAATACCTAGGAATCAACCTTACAATGGGATGTAAGGGACCGTCTTCAAGGAGAACTACAATACCGACTGCCAGTGAAATCAAACGAGGACACAAACAAACTGGAAGCAAGAACATACCATGCTCATGCGATAGGGAAGAATCGGTATCGTGAAAACTGGGCCATACTGCCCAACGGGTAATTTGATGGACTTCCAATGCATCCCCAATCACAGTCTACCAATGAGTTTCTTCACAGAATTGGAAAAAACCTTGCTTTAAAGTTCATATGGAACCAAAAAAGAGTCTGCATTGCCAAGACAATCCTAAGTCAAAAGAAACAAAGCTGGAGGGCATCACGCTACCTGAACTTCAAACTATACTACAGGGCTACAGTAAACCAAAACAGCATGGTACTGGTACCAAAACCGAGATATAGACCAATGGAAACAGAACAGAGTCCTCAGAAATAATACCACACATGTATAGCCATCTGATCTTTGGACAAACCCTTGAGAAAAACAAGAAATGGGGAAAGGATTCCCTATTTAAGTAAATGGTGCTGAGAAAAATTGGCTAGCCATAAGTAGAAAGCTGAAACTGGATCCTTTCCTTACTCCTTATACGAAAATTAATTCAAGATGGATTAGAGACTTAAATCTTTTTAATTTTTTTATGTTCTTCATGTTTTATATTTTTTTAACTGTATATGCAACTTGAGACTTTTAAGTATTTTTAAAAATCTGATCATTGTGTAAAACATTATAACGGTTCTCTTTTTAAAAATTGCCTTACGATTTATTACTTTCCTTAAGATCAGATCTTATTATACATTCAAATCATCTGGGAAGCCTTAAGAGGTACAGATTCTTAGCCTTTCATGCCCAGACATTCTGACTCATTATGGGTCTGGGATGGGGCGTTTGTTTATTTTTAAGCTCATTGTTAGCCAGGGTTAAGAACCACTGGTCTGCACCACTACTTTCAAATTCACATTTGATTTTTTTTTTATACTGGCTTTTCTCTTCTGGAATAAGAAAAAGAATAACTTTTTTTATGATTGGCATATGATAACATAGTCTAAGTAATTTGGAAAAAATTGTGCTTATAGTTCATTTAAGAGACATTCTTTGATAATTGGATAGTTTACGTGGATTTTAATAGGATTCCATTGTAAATGAAAGTTAATCTTAGGAATTAAATGAATCCTTAGGGAAATTTGTACTCTTATGTTTTCAAAATAGTATCCTTTAGAAATGTCTCAACATAGGGTAGTCTAGGCTTCTAAGAGATTAAACTTAATGAAAGTTTCTATAATGTATGTCTGCCAGTAATCTATGGTAGTCTAGAAAGTAGGGATTATAGAAATTTGTTGTTTGCATGTGCACATAAAAATTTTCCTATTATTTTTTGTATTTCTCTTATGCTTTCAGATATGCAAGAACTGTACAGGTTGCTTTGATCGACACATCCCGTGTGTTTCTCTGAACTGCCCAGTACTTTTCAAAGTCTCCCGAGTAAACAGAGAATTGTCCAAGGCACCATATCTCCGGCAATTATTAGACCAGTTTTAAATTGTCAATATCAGAGAATTACAGGTGCTATTTTTTTCAGTGTTTACCACTAAACTGTTGTGCATGGTGCTTTTTAACTTTCATCGAGTCAAGGATGTTCACTGTCTGTCTGTTATCTGAAGACTATGAAGACTTCTATGCTAACCGAATTAAAATGTACTTGTTGATCTCTGAATAGCTCACTTCTTACAATGTACAAATTCCTCATTCTGTCACCTTTTAAACATTGTTTTATAATGCAGGTGTTGGATTTGCTCCAGTACGTGTACCACCTTGTAAATCCATTTGAGTAGATCATGTTTACTTCCCAGTGGAAGGAGCACTGAAAACCTCTTAAAGAAAAACCATTCGTGTGTTTTCCTTGAACTGTCTGTATCAAGACGTGTTACTTCGAGATATCCATTCACTTTATAATTTTGACTGCAAAATATTTTGTAAATACACTTTTTTACTTTTCAAACAACTGAGTAAAATAATGTGCAATGACTTTTATACAAATGATTTTCAAGTTGTTTGGTATATTTCCTCTAGGTTTTGCTTGACTCAAAGTAGATCGTTATTTTGATCAAACTGTGCAAACAGTAGTACCATGTGTAGCATTTTGAAACATTATTTTTTAAAAAATGCTGTCTTGCTTTAGCTATTAATGGGGCATTGTGAGGAACTGTGCAAAGACATTTTTGTTACAAACCTGTGGGCCTGTTGCAATACTTTAAAAATAAAAAATTTTATTCCATTTGCTTGTTTTGTATAGACATTTCTATTGCTTCTAAATATGCTTAAAATATTTTCTTTCCTTATGTACTGTACAGTTAATCTTATTTGCCATCATCTTGAACACAAAATGTGTATTTAGAATATTTGTATAACTGTGTAAAATAAAAAAGGAATTATGTGGTCAGTGCATTGTTTTTTAAACTGGAAATCATTTTGTTTTAAAAGTTAATAATGGAAACCCTATTAAAATTGAATAAAATATAAAATATAGCAGTGTGACTTCATGTTTTTTATAAGTCTACATTGGTTACATCCTACCCTAGCCTTTTCTGAGTTTTAATGAAGTAAATTTAACACATTTTTATATCCTGTTTGATATTGCAATTTCCTTACCAAAACTTCAGGGTTAAAACAAAAAAAAAAAAGGCAGCACAAAAAGGAAAATTTAGCACTCATCCTCTTAGAGAGTTCTAAAAGTGTACTTGTTAGTAGATCTTCAGTGTTCATTTTCATTTTGATATAATTAATCTTGGGGTCAGGACTTTCCAGAGGGAAAGCAAAAACTACATTACTTCTTAAAAACTTAAATGGCAATTTTTATATGCCTATTTTTTTCAATAGAAAACAGTTCTTATTTTGACAGAATTACCTAGTTACTTAACAGAAATAGGTCTCCATTGCCAGAATATGTACTTACAAATGTTGGGAGGATTCATTTTCTGAAAATTACATGGTAAATATTGGAACCAAAGAGATACATAGCCTGTGTCTGAACATAATTTCTCTCAAATCTTGCTAAGACATAACAAATTCCCGCTTCTGGGGATATTTTTTGTTTGGGAGGCTGGGGCTAGCCCTCAGTGTTGGGGTTTTCTTTCCCTTACGTGGGTAGATTGATGAAGTTCTGTTACTTACAGGTTCTGTGCTGTCAGGACTTCCACATACATCATAGTGACTTGACACAATATTTTCAACAGAATAACCATTTTTAACCTGATTATAATTGGATACAGCCATATTAACAAATGGTCATTTAACATGAGTGCCTAAAACTAGCTCACACTCAGCCTGTCTCTGGTTCTGTTTTCTGCAGGGAAATTCCTCCTTTGTAACTGTCCTCATAGTCTGTAGCTTAACTGCCTTTTAGTGAGGTCCATTTGCTGTTTCACTAACCCTCTGGGAGGGTGGTGAAATTTGGACCTGTTTTACCAAGAAATTTTCTTGTAAGGATCTTCCTATGTTCCATAATTTTCCCTCCATTTTAGATGTCTATTAATAAAATTTTGTCTCTCAGATCACAGAAAAAAAAATTAAGTATTGCTGAAGAAACAGTTTCATTCTTTAGGATGTTTTCATTTATCTGAAAAGGAGCCAGAAGCTCAGACATCAAATAACTTCATTAAACATTTCCTTGATGTTTAATGAATTAAGCAAAACATTAATATTTGTTAAAGTTGTTTAACATTGTTTTCTCTCATTTTTCTCACTTTCTATTCAAGCTTTTCCCTAGATGAATCATGTAATATTCAATTCTGTATGGACACAAAATAGTGTCTTTGAAGAAGGCCAATAAATTTGGAAAAAACATAAAAATGTGAAGAGAGCAGTTAAAGATACGATGAATTCTTAGAATAGGTGGCCCTGTGAGGTCATCTTGCCAATGGAGCAGGCCATCCAGAGAGCTTGTGGACTCCGTTCAGCCCCACTGACTGTCACGGGTTATACCCTCAGTCTCAGATGATGCACCCTACCTGCCATCAAGTGTGCCACGCTGATCACCTAAACATCTCTTCCGGATCTTACCTTAGTTGAGTCTTGTAGCTGTGTAGTCGATCTTTTCATCTACTCTCTTGCTTTTATTTTTGTAACAGTTGGAGTACAGGAATATTCCTTAAGGCCTATCAAATAAGCTTGTTTTGTTTTGTCTTGAGATAGGGTCTTGCATTGTTGCCCAGCCTGGAGTGGAGTGGGGTGATCTTGGCTCACTGCAACCTCCACCTCCCCGAGTTCAAGCAATCCTCTCACTTCAGCCTCCCAAGTAGCTGGCACTACAGGCATACACCACCATGATTGGCTAATTTTTGTATTTCTGGTAGAGATGGGGGTCTCACCCTGTTGGCCAGGCTGGTCTCGAATTCCTGAGCTCAACAATCTGGCTACCTCGGGCTCCCAAAGTACTGGGATTACAGGCTACCGGGAGCCACCACGCCCGGCCCAAATAAGCTTTTAAATTGACTTCTCTATTGTAGACTAGTATTTCTTAAAATAGTCACATTTAATTTTATAAAGTACAAATAAATCTGGCGGTAAATGACATTGCTAGGGCTCTGCCATCAGCTGTGGGGACTGGGGAAGGTGGAAGTGCACAAGTAGCTACTTTTAGACTGGATATGTCAGCCCTCTATCAGTGAGCTCTGTACCTCTGGGAGGATGGTTGGCATTCATGCCCTACTGATTTTTATTCCCATAATACTGTGCCCTTTTGCCATGATGTGATGTGAATTGTTACCTTTAACCATTTGAGGTTTTTTTGTTTTGTTTGAGACAGGGTCTCGTTCTGTCACCGAGGCTGGAGTGCAGTGGCACGATCTCGGCTCACCGCAACCTCTGCCTCCTGCCTCAAGCGATTCTCCTGCTTTAGCCTCCTGAGTAGCTGGGATTACAGGCATGCGCCACCATGCCCAGCTAATTTTTGTATTTTTAGTCAAGATGGGGTTTCTCCATGTTGGCCAGGCTGGTCTTGAACTCCTGACGTCAGGTGACCCACCCATCTTGGCCTCCCAAAGTGCTGGGATTCCAGGCATGAGCCGCCGTGCCCGGTCCATTTGAGTTTTATAATAGTGGATAAAATTCAGTACCATTAATGCCCCAGTTCTGCTTAATAACTAGCTTTGTACAGGCAAATAGTCACAGATTATGGCTACATTTGGGATCCAAGGAGGAAATCAAAACACACACAGCACCTCATCTACTTCTCTATCTTCCTCACCCTACCCGATAGCTGCATTTTGGCACTTTGGCCAACCTCCAAGAGTGATTTACAAAGCAAAATACCTTGTGGAGGAGTTCTCAGATTCATAAGATCAGGTTGCTTTGTATATCTGGGGAGAAGAGAGTGTAACCAGGAAAGCAGATGAAGGCATTTTTTAAATCAAAAAAACATCTTACTGCCTATGAGTCTTTACCGATCTTGCTACTGATGCCACCACAGGTGTCTTGGAGGGAAGGACAGGAAGGTTTTCGGGTAAGTGATCGAGTAAGGAGCTTCCATGCTATGGGCTTCCCCGTGATCACTAATGGCAATGCAACTCTTTGGAAAAGTAACTCATTTGGTCATAGATACCAAGTTTAAAAATATTCACACTCTGAAAACAGAATAATAGCACCTGCCCTCTGATTACCCAAGAGCGGCTTTGTGAATATTATGAATACAAAAATAGTTACACAGATTTTAAGTATTTGCCATTCAATAAATATTTACTAAGCATCAATTTGTGCATGGCATTTCACTCATCTGGAGATCTCGAGGTAATCCCCTGCCCTTGTGTATTTCATAGGTATTTGGGAGATAGACGTAAGTAAATTGGCATTAGTTACAAGATGATGTGAAGATGTCTTTGCTGCCGCCTTCTCCCCTACTGGAAGAACCCAAAGTTAAGAAAGACAAGGTCGGCCGGGCGCGGTGGCTCAAGCCTGTAATCCCAGCACTTTGGGAGGCCCAAGGTCGGCGGATCCGAGGTCAGGAGATCGAGACCATCCTGGCTAACACGGTGAAACCCCCCGTCCTCTACTCAAAAAAAATACAAAAAACCTAGCCGGGGCGACGGTGGCCGGCGCCTGTAGTCCCAGCTACACGGGAAAGGCCCTGAGAACAGGAGAAATGGGCGGGAACCCGGGAGGCGGGAGCTTGCCAGTGAGCCGAGATCTGGCCACTGCACTCCAGCCCGGGCGGCAGAGCGAACTCCGGTTCCAAAAAAAAAAAGAAAGACAAGGTCAGGCGCCTGGGCGCCGGTGGCTCCAGTAATCTCAAGCAACTTTGGAGCTGAAGGCCGGGCGATCATGAGGGTCAGGAAATCCAGACCATCCTGAAACCCCGTCTCTAACTAAAAATAACAAAAAAAAATTAGCTGAGCATGGTGGGCGGGCCGCCTGGTAGTCCAAGCCTACCTCGGGAGGCTGAGGCAGGAGAATGGCGTGAACTCAGGAGGCGGAGCTTGCAGTGAGCTAAGATCGTGCCACTGCACTCCACCCTGGGCACCAGAGCGAGACTCCGTTTCAAAAAAAAAAAAACTACAAAAATTTAGCCAGACGTGATGGGGGGTGCCTGTAATCCTAGCTACTCGGGAGGCTGAGTTAGAAGAATGACTTGAATCCAGGGGGTGGAGGTTGCAGTGAGCTGAGATCATGCCACTGCATTCCAGCCTGGGCAACAGAGTGAGACCTCCGTCTCAAAAAAAGAAAAATACAAAAAATTAGCCAGAAGTTGTGGGGGGTGCCTGTAATCCTAACTACTCAGGAGGCTGAGGCAGGAGAATCGTTTGAACCCAGGAGGCAGAGGTTGTAGTGAGCAGAGATCGCGCCATTACACTCCAGCCTGGGGGATAAAGTGAGACTCCATCTCAAAAAAAAAAAAAAAAGAAAGAAAAGAAAAACAAAGAGAAGGTCAAACCTGATCATTACTAGAGAACTCAAGAAAGGCTTAGGAACAGAAGGTCCCAGGTGGGAACGGATTGTTTAAAAGGAACAGTTAGACTTCACAGGCCACATTGATTCCACATTTTTAGGTGACCACATCCTGTCTACCCCCCAACACACACACACACACACTTTAGGTTTATTTTATAGAGAAAAAGAACCAGAGAGGCACTGAACTGGGGGACACAAGGCACTGAGGAGAGAATGAGGTACCACTGAGAGGAAGTGGAGTCGGCATCCTCAAGGGCGAAGTGAGACCTGCTCACCCTTTCCCAAGGTGTGAGATGCCATGGCCAGGGCCATACTCCCATCATCACCGTGTGCTGCTGTGACTCACAACACCTTACAGTTGATTATCTGTGCCAACATTTAATACCAATCCCTCTATTAGACTTGTGTCCCAACACGACCCAGCACCAAGCACAGTGCCTGGATCTTGCTATAGAGAGGATGGTACCTGAGCACCTCAGATAGAACAAAAATACTGGCTAGAGGGAAGCATAGGGATTGTAGCTATATACAAGCTTAGATTCTTTTTAAAATATGCTTTTATTTTTTTGAGATGGAATTTCGCTCTTGTCACTCAGGCCGGAGTGCAATGGTACAATCTCGGCTCACTGCAACCTCTGCCTCCTGGGTTCAAGTGATTCTCCTGCTTCAGCCTCCTGAGAAGCTGGGATTGCGGGCACACACCACCACACCTGGCTAATTTTTGTAATTTTAGTAGAGA